TATTCCTTTAGCTGCTCTGAGATGTGAGGAACAATATTTAGAAAAAAGTAAAAGTAAAAAAAAGGCAAGTGCTTGCATTTATTTCCTAAATAAAGCACATAAACAAGGTCACATTTTTGTAAGTAGCAAACTTCTTGACTACTGAGATTGGTCTGCAAACCCTTGACCACATAAGTAAATTTGTTAGATTGGGTGTTGATAATAAAATCTGATCTTATGGGCCTTAGAAAAACAATGTGTTTATTTGCTCTATAATAGTATTCTAAAGCCATCTATTTGGTTACAGAAAGGTTTATGAAAGCCAAAATTATAACAGCAGATAGTGTGAAGCCATTAATTATAAATGCCCGATTAAGCAAAGAGGACCTTGTGCAGTAATTAGCAAAGCATGAGATCTCACAAGTAGCCATTTCCTGAAATAAAAGCAGCTGAGTACAGACAAGATCGAGACAGCAGTTGAACACGCGCCCTGACCAGGCAGCAGTACATGTTGTACTGATGCATCTCAAAAGAACAGTTTGCTAAATAAGTCTTTTGGCCGAACGGTGCAGCTTTTTATCTCCCTTACTTGCTGTCCCACTCCTGCCCTAATCAACAGAAAGATACGGACGTATTTGTTCTCACAAGGTCGTAGCAGGAACAGAAGTGTGTAAGGAATCCACCAACCACAGAGAACTGACACCTTTTTAGACCTCATATTTGCACTCCACTTCTGAACCTCAACCTAGATTTCCAATTGATGGCCAGATTAAAAGAAATAAAGTTGTCCACTTCCTGGGAAGAGGCCATTTGGCAAGAATGTTGCTGAAATTCAACAAAACCCCAAAATAATATGTATTTTTAATTAAAAAAAACAAACAACATGCAGCACTCACAGGCCAGTAGAGAACTCTGAGTCACATCTCCACATCTGTATTGTGAAGCTGGAGGAGGAGAAACAAGTACGGTCCAAGTATATGAAAGAGTAAAGCAAGAACAAAGTATCTAATGGAAGCTGCACTCCCATATACAGGAAAAATTGATCTTTTAAACACCTTGAGTAAGGAAAAAAAAATCCATTACACCTACACACCCAGAGCTATTTTATCTACTAGACTGAAGTAATTCTTAGGTCAAAATTGCACTGACACCTATGTGCAGATACAGAGCTGATGCAAAGTTTGAACATCTTTGAAAATCGTGGAAACAACAGGATGTTTTATTTTCATTTATCACAATATTTTGCCTGAGTCAGGGAACACCAGTGTCACTGAAAATTCTGTCAGAAACTATAATCTAGGTAATGAATCCAACAACTCCAAAGAGGAGGAGGGGGTGTCACGGCATGGGATGTCCTTTTCTCAACAGCTTGTTACTTAACTCTAGAACAAGTTTACAACCTAATTATTATTTCTTTCACCTTCTACCACTCCTAAACTTGCAAATATAACTCATCAATCCCAAGCATGCATTAGATTAATGAAAGTTTCTTAAAAATTTTTCTTAAATTGCATTTCTTATACTCTGATGGTATACATAAGGTAAAGGTTTTTATTTTCATTTACCGCAATTACTAATATTGAGAATATCTGGGGTTTTTTAAGAGATGCATGTTTGTCATACCTGTTAGTTATTTAGTGATTAAGTTTTCAACTACCTAAAGAATTTGAAAAGCATTTGTTATAACAGCAAGGCACAAATTCTCTACTTCATCTTAGCAATTCATACCATTAACATACTTCAGTTGAAAATTACATTAGTTTTATTAGCTTATTATTAAGTGGGCTTTAAACAATACACTGATAAAGGATTAAATTAATATACATTTTGGTTTTGCTATCTATGTGAAAACCACTCCATAACTAAAGAGACAGTTAACATAGAGGGAATTGTTTAATGCCTCTCATGGCCTTCTTCTTAGTTGTTTAGGAATGATTAACATACACAGTACAAGGCTCCTATAGTCTGAGCTATGAACAGCATTTATTATTAATATTTCCCAATACTTGCTAGGCAAAAATTCCTCTTTCTGGAACAGTTAACTGGTTCAGACTGTTGCCTTAAGAGACCACAGAAAACAGGACTCCGAGCCAACTCAGTGTATAAGATAAGATAAAGTGGGTAGGTCCTTTAATTTCAGGCCTGAGGCCCACAGGAATACATATAACGTGTCTCCCATGTCCACAGGGTTGTACAATTTAAGGTGTTAACCCATCCCAGATTTATCCACCCCCCAGCACCTCCCCCCAGCACACCCCTCTGGAAATTGAGGCAGGGGCTCTGGGACCCCCTCTTCCTCAATCTCCTCTTCATCACAGCGCGTACAGTCCTTGGAAGCCCTTCAAAGTTCTGGGCTTGAAGGTCGCTTTACCTGTGTGCTATCTTGTTGTCCAGGCCAGGGTGCAGATGTTCTTAAACAGAATGAAGGGAGGGAAGTCTAAACAAGCTAACAGAATTAATGGAATTTTGAGGGAGTGATATGGAATGGGGTAACAATGTTGGGAAAATGTGTAAACTACTGTGCTAAAGGGTGAGGGATATAATACAGCTACTTTAAAATCTACATTCACTACATAACTACTTCTAAAGTCTATAAACATTTAAAAAGAAACAAAAACTCTAAGGCAACAACACTTTAGAAGAAACTTATTTCAAACCTTCTACAATTCCATTTTGGCAGAACCTACAAAGGAGCCTGACATGCAGCTAAGGGGCATTGCTGGAGGGAAAAGGAGAAAGAAGAGGCCAATTTGATAGGGAGATGGGGTAGAAAAGACCATGAGCTAAGAACTAAGATGGGGTAAGCTTGAGTTTCCACACTCCCTCCACTCACTTCATGCTCTTTCTGCAGAAAGGAATGGCAGAGCCAACCTATCTTGCCTTGAGATCGCTCCTCATTAGCCTTATCAGGAGCTGTAGGCACAGGACACATTGGTGGCTGGGACACTGAGAAGAAAAGGAAGCCTTTCATTTCGTAGTTGTCATGGTAGCTTCAGACCAGCAAGGATAATTACAGCTTGCTTTTGCCATTCTGGCTGAAAATGAATCACAAACCCGAGACACCAAGTTTGGTAATCTCTGCTGAGTTCTACTTTGTACAGCTATTTATATCAGGCATGTGGCATGGTCAGAAACCTCAGGATATTCAGACATGGTGGTATTATTAGAACAAACATGGAGGAGAACTCCATTGTTTTTTCAGTTCTGCCTTTAGCTGGACAGTTTACAAACACTGTGGGAAAGCAGGATCGACATGTATGCGTTCTGTTCACAGTGCACCTTCACTGGCACCTACAGAAGCCTGACAATCAAATCAAACAACTTTGTAGTGGGGCTGAACAGGCTTTGCCATGACAAGGCTATGATAAATTGAGGGCACAGGAATTAATTTCTCCAGTGACTGAGAACACATGCTGTTTCTGTACAGAACCACCCTCCTAAACTAATTAATTAAGTTATTTCTTTTCTTGCTCTTCAAACTCTTTTAAGACACTGAATCCACTTTTCCAAGGCACACTCAGGTAAATCAGCCCAATATTTCAAAGGCAATTTCACGAAACCCAGCCACAGTTACTAGTAAACAAACCCCTTTCCAGAAGGCAAGGCCCTCAAAGGGCCTATTCCCTCATTTTCTGGACATCACTCGTTTTCAGAAGCAAAAATTCACTGAAAGGGTGTACTGAGGTTTATGTTAATGAGCAAAAAAGCAGAAGATTCACAAAAAATGCTCAAATATTTGCATAAAAAATAAATGTAAGGTTTGGGAAATTTTCCTGAGGAATGGCATGACCTTGGTAGCACCCTCACCTAAAAATAAACTGCACTAGAATCTTCCCAGGAGTAACAGCAGCACTGAAACAGACCTGATAATGAAGGGGCAGGCTTAGGGGTAGTATTCCCTGACAGTCATAAAATATGTGCCTCAAAACTTAATCTCTGGGCTGCTGGCCTGACTTACAAGAAAAAATCAGTAACCAAAGTAAATTACTCTCAAGAACTAAACCAAAGTTGTTTACAAAGCATTCTAAATTTTTCATAATTTCTTACATCTTGGATTCTTCTTAGTAGTACTTAGAAAAGTACTGCAAAAAATATATTTAATGCATTCTAAAATTGTCAAGTAGTCTTACCTGGTACAACTAGGAGACCCTTTTCCTTCACAATTTATCTTTGTTCTGGAGAGAATGAAAACTTGTCTTATCCAAAGTGTCAATTGACAATTAAAAAAACCAAAGTTTTAAAGAAATTGTCCTTGGTAAAAACATTTGCATAATAACAATAAGTAATTCTTCCAAACAGATTCTCCCAAAGACAAGTTTTGTAGGCAAAGATGAAGATTTTTCTCAGTGTATGATGCCATCTGTGAAGGGCACACCATTTGAAACCCTCTGCTTGTATGCAAGGTAACACCACCACTGTGAGACAGCGGGACATCTACAGCTCTGTCACTCTGATGCTGCTAAAGCTGTACTCACTGAGCTGTCTGCCACTGATTTCAGGAAAATAAATCAATAAACAAACAAAACTGTGCAAGTCAAACTTTGACCCCATTCACACAATCAAATTTTCAAACTAATATGGCACTCTGCTTCCAAATGTAAGAACATGGAAGAGTGCTGGAGAGGAGAGCATTAAATTGATTTACAAATGTGCAAGGACCAAAAACAAAGCAAAGAGGATTTCAATTTTCGCAAGCTATGTGTTTCAGGAACAAAGTTTCCTTTATATTAAGAATGTTTTACTGTATTTTTGGCAATCTAAATGAGTGTTCTACCATCCCCACAACAAGAATCAGCTGATCAACTAGGACATGTCTCAAGTCCCTTGACATGGATTAGGGGGAGGGTGGGAATCCATATAGAAATTATTTTTGTAAGTCATTAAAGGATGAGCCATTCTAAAACATTCAGTTAAGAACACACTTATGCAACTACTTTACCTCCCCTCCCCAAAAAAACAGCCTTTATAATTTCAGGTTCATAGTACAATGTGCATATTCATTTTGACATTATCTGTTCAGATTATTGTGCACATTTTATTGTTGGCATTTAAAGGATTCTAATGAGATAACACCGCTGACAGCTTAACCTTTATTAAACTGTTGATACAAGATGATTCTTTTAGCATAAAGTCAGATGAAGACATTACAAAAATTATATAGCTATTCATAGATTGCAATAAACTATTAAAAAGAACATTCTCTTTACAAGATTGGTCTTTTATTTACAATTAGAGACCAGAAAAAATGAGGGGTTTCTTTCACAATATTTTACTAAATTAGCATTTAAATAATACTTGAGGCACTTTTCAGAGATTATTAAAAGCTATGAACAATTAGATCACCGAGAGTTGAATCTGAAGAATATGTCTCTGATATTAATTGTTACATATGACAGTATTACTACTAGTTGCTTTTAAAATCCAAGTATCTGGAAGGTTAAAGAGTTTGTAAAACACTGAAGTCAGCTCCAAGCTTTCTGTCTGTCTATAGTAACAAGTATGCTTCTCATATTTTTCACATACAAATGATTGTTTATGTATTAATTAAGCCTCACAACATAACTCAAAGGTAGGAAGCGCCAGTACCCTTTATGCGGAGTAGAAACAGATTGTGACTTGCTGAAAGGAAGAGGAAGCATGAAGCAGACTACTCCATGGGCTCAGTCATCCCATTTCACAATACAGCACTTCTGATATTGATCCAGCACATCGTATTATGCTAAACACCATCGAGAACAACCTATGTTCCCAATCACAAGACCTAAACACGGAGCAGACAGATTTTAAAAAAGGAGATCTGTTGTACTTCAATTGCTCCTCATCAGTCAGTATAAAACCTTTTGTGACTTTACAGAAAAATCACATCATATTTCTGTCCCTGGACTTGCCAAACACATTAAAATAACACAAGTCAAATTCTGTTCTACGTATATCCACAGCCAATGGGATAGAAATTCTTGCTTCTGATTTCTCCTTCTCCCGCGGACAGGAGAGCTTTGCATTTTCCACATTCCACCCTACACGTAGCTTCTCTACTTTGTGCAAAAAAATAAAAATAAATAAAAGTATGCTGCTACAAGTGAGAGAGCTAAAATGCATTCATGGTCTCAAGCCAAGGGCACAGAGCAGATTTGATTTGAAATATTAAGTTCCTTGATCAAAAATTTAAAATAATCAGACAAGCTATTGGGATGGAGGGATGGATGGATGGATGGAAGAAAGCTGTTTTCAGTGGGAAGTCTTTTCTTGTTCCTTCTGGCAAATGGACCATCACAAAAAAAAAGTTCACCCACAAGTATCAGAGTTATTCAGTATCATATCCCAAAACGGGTCCAAGCCATTTCTCCACTTCTGCAACCGACAATTTTTTTCTCAGTGCATAATCTTCAACCTGCAAAGAGACCACAAAACATGATGGAGATTTTGGAACTCCAGCTTTTAGTATTTACAAATTTTTTAAGACATCTGCTAATTAGATGTTTTTAAATGTTCTAACACTACTACAATGAACAGCGTAAGTTACCTGATCTTTACATATCTTTCCAACAGCAAAATATTTGGAATTGGGACTGGAAAAGTAGAGGCCAGAAACTGCAGAAGCAGGTACCATTGCTAGTGATTCTGTTAAACCAATTCCTGGAAAAGTGAATGAGAATCCTCTTATTCTTGAGAACAATTGAGAATAAGCACAAATTCAAAACCTTTTTTGTGTTGGACAGCTTCAAGTAAACTCAAAAAAACCAAGAAGGTTTCAGATGAATTAAAACAAAAACCATTTTCCATTTGTTAACTATTAAAAAAACCCACAGACCTTTAAATACACTGCAGACGTTCATTATGATTACTGTAAAGTAACTGTACAGTTTGAAGGAAAAAACCTGGGAGATTTTGGCAAGAGGTTTTGAAACACAGGAAGGTATTTTTGGAGCAGTGAAACATCTGACATGTAAAATATCAGAGGAAAACAAATGGAATTCATTCCTTTTTAAGAATTACCATCTCAAGGTTCCTGTGGACCAGGATACACACTGCTGAATTGGCTTTTTTTCCTGTTTATATCTGGAATGTCTTCTTGCAACCATAAGGATGCTAGAAATTTTCTCTGTGCAGCAGAACCCTGTTTGCATGTAATCTGCTACTTAGGGACACAACTCCTTCACCAAAAGCACTGACAGTGTTTTTAAAATTCTTCCTTGAATGAGGCCAAATAAAAATGGCAATGAAAAGGGGAAGAGAGCAAATCCTAGAAGCACATCAGTATTTTATGTAGTTCTGCACCACCCAATTCACTGTATTTTTGGAATGTCAATCTTTCATTCACATAAAAACAGTTTAAGAATCTTAGTAAAGCAGAGTTACCTGTTGTTTCCTCAATGTTTGCAAGTTTCCACATGGTGAGTTTTTCTGTATGGTCAGGCTGGCTTGGATATCCAGGGGCAGGGCGAATTCCCTCATATTTAATTCTGCGTAGGTCAGAGAGATTGAGCTGCTCAGTAATACTGTAAGCCCAGAATTCCCTTCGAACCCGTTCATGGAGCTCCTCAGCAAATGCCTTGGAATAGAATGAAAAGATTTTTTTGTATTTTAGTTTGTTCAGAATGATGCAATAGCTATTTAATACAAACAATGTCTTAGAGAATTTCTTCCCCTTCCCATTTTAATTTTTAAGGGAGCTTTTAACATTGGTGAGAAATTTGATAGAATTAAAATTCACATGCAAAACTTATTTTGCTAACTCAAGTATTTTAGTTTCTTCTCTTACTGGTAGATAGGGGTTTTTTGATTGTCCTGATTTTAAATCCTACATACTCAAAAGATGTGGACAAGTAACCTAAAAAGTAACCTAATTAACCTATGGTAGCAACATATCATTATAGTCACTAGGTCTTGACCATCTGTGTGTCTCATCCAGGTCTAGCTATGGAAGGCTACATCATTCTTGCATCCATGCTAGGATCAGATACAAGTACGCACTGCGGCTCTTTTTAGCAGAGGTCCTTTCCTCTAGCTGAAAGTGGGCAACAACTTTTCTGAACTGCTATTTTGCCAGCAACAGTTGCCCTTCAGGAAGAATTCCCACTTCAGTAAATATCTTTAGATGGCAACTCATTATGCTTTCTGAAACTGTGCTGTAGCTTGAAATACACACCTAGAGCTAACCCCACTTGCATTGCACTGAAGTGGCTGTAAGTTTGCTGAAAGTTGCAAGGAAACCTCATACCTCTGCCAACCGATCGCCGAGAGCCTTTACCATTATGATGTTGTATTCATCATCCTGTTTCCTAAATTCATTGCATAACTCATCTACACCAAAGCAGGCCACAGCAAACAGGCCTAAGTAGTCACGAATGCCAGAATCCATTGGTGCTATGAAGTCAGAGAGGCAGTAATATGGATCTGTGCAGGCAGAGTCTTTTTCAGCCTAGAGTAACAAAATCAGTGCAATAAATCAGAACATTTAAAAATATATTATTAGTGCACTACTAAGCTAAAGACCAGTATTTTTAACACTAAAGGGCTTAAGGCATTTCTGACAAACACCTAACTAGTCTTTGAGCCACGGTGGCTTTCCTGTAGTTAAATTAGAAGGAAACCACCTCTCTCAGAGCATGTTCAGACCACTGAAGAACAAAACGCCATAGAAGAGATGCTGCGCTGAACACACATATAGAGATATTTTATTTCTGTTTACAGCCAGTAAGATTTATCAGCTTATACTGTAGGTTCAATCTTTGTATGGGCCATTCACTTCAGAGTTGGACTTGATGATCCTTGTGGGTCCCTTCCAACTCAGAAGTTTCTGTGATACAAATTATTACAAAATAAGGAACACTCTTGTGCCAACTGGGTAAGAGGAGGAATAATTACTCTCTACCCCTCACAGATTCCACATTTGCTAGCAAAACTGATGGTTGATAAGCAAACTGGAAATTCTTCAGCAATTCCCTCTATAGAATGGCTGTGAGAGTTTATAAACATTCCTGGTTTCTCATGGTACAAACTATGTGCTCAGTAATCCAGACAAAACTGTGCCCACGATGCAGACCTTACAGTAGTCACACATACAAACAAACAAAATTGATCTATCACTACTGAAAAGTTGAATTCTAAATGAAGTTCAAGTGGGTTTTATGCAAAGGAAAGTGGCCCAGAGGGAAAGGACCTGGGGGTGCTGGTCAACAGCTGGTTGAACATGAGCCAGCAGTGTGCCCAGGTGGCCAAGAAGGCCAATGGCATTTGGGCCTTAGCAGGAACAGTGAGGCCAGCAGGACTAGGGAAGGGATTCTTCCCCTGTACTTGGCACTGGTGAGGCCGCACTTCAAGTACTGGCCCACTCACTTCAAGAAGATCTTTGAGGTGCTGGAGCAAGTCCGGAGAAGGGCAAGGAAGCTGGTGAAGGTTGTGGAGCACAAGTCCTATGAGGAGCAGCTGAGGGAGCTGAGGTTGTTTAGCTGGGAAAAGAGGAGGCTCAGAGGAGACTTTATCGCTCTCTACAACCACCTGAAAGGAGGTTGTAGCCAGGTGGGAGTTGGCCTCTTCTCCCAGGCAACAACTGATGAGAGGCCACAGTCTTAAGCTGTGCCAGAGAAGGTTTAGGTTGGACATTAGGAAGAAAGGCTTCACAGAAAGGGCAATTAGACATTGGAATGGGCTGCCAGAGGAGGTAGTGGGGTCATCATTCCTGGAGGTGTTTAAGAAAAGACTGGATGTGGCACTGAGTGCTATGGTCTAGTTGACATGGTGGTGTTGGGTCACAGGTTGGACCCAATGATCTCAGGGGTCTATTCCAACCCAACTGATTTTGTGATTCTGTGGAATAGGAAATATACTGCTCACTGGATCCTTTTCCAAAAATGGAAAAAAGGTAACAGAAAGAGGTGACTAACTATCCAAAAAGAAATTTTGAATCATATCATGTGGAAACATGATTGCTATTTAAGAAGTGGCACAGATCTTGTAAATCTACCCAACTTAGAGAGAGAAAAGTTATTTCATGGCTATCACTTAGCTGAAGATTCCTATTCTATGACAATATTTTAACAATGCTTTCCACTCAATCCCAACTGCATCTTAAAAACAAATAAAACGCCTTCAACCCTGAAAAACAAAGAAAAATGGCCTGTTAACCCACTAGGTTAATACCATAAAGTACTATAAAACCAAAGAAATATCCTTTTTCCACACAGATAAAATCTATGTTAATTTTGAGGTTCTTTTGTAATTATTAGAGTTAAGGAAAATATTAAATGGATCCCCAACTTTTAGATTTATGTCACATCCTTAACAGTGTCAATGTCATGAACTCAAGTCTCTGTACTGAAAGGAAAATTTTATATAAGAAACAGAAGACAATTATTTGCTTCTACTTTGCTCTGGTGAAGACTCTGCTGAATTACTATATACACCAGACTGGAAGAGATGCAGCTAAAATATATAGAGTCCAGAAGAGCAGTATGCACAATAGCACAGAGTTTCATGCCCTTAACCTCTGAGAGAAGCCTGAATAACTGGGGATATATAAGATAAAAAAGACTAAGGAAAATAACAGTATTACGATAATAAAACCCTTTACAAGAATATTATCAAACCAGATATTCTTCTTGGGAGAACCCTGGGAAAAGGCCAGGAAAAGAAACAGTAGTAAACATGATTTACATGGGATATCAAAATATTTAACTAGGCCATAAGGCTCTGGAACAGCCCTGCATGTGTGCTTGTTGAGAGCATTTTATATAAACATCTGCCATGGATTGTCACAATCCATCTCCATGCTACAGATAATCTGTTCCAGGGAACTGGAACAGAAAATCTTAAGAGTCATGTATTTCTTAGTACAGTCCTGCAATGTTGGCACATGATTGTCCTTATAGAATATGGTACTCCAGAAATTTAGGTAATCGTTGAAATTTTTTTTCTGACCATGTTTGATGACTCTGAATATGTGAACTATGAAGAAGCCAAATCAGAAGACAAGGAAAAAAAAAAGAGAAGCAGAATATCTTGAAAGTTCAATCTATCCAATTAAATGCAAATCTAGGTAAGTATGATTCCAGCATGAATACTTAAAATAATGATTAGCTCAATCAGAATTAGCAGCCAACTAATTCTAAACTGCCCCTCCATATGGTGAATTTTACATCAAAATTAAGACTATCAAAAACACTTATCTCCATTGAGCTTTATTTTCCAGGATTTTTTAATTCTAACTGGGTTTAACCTTTAATACATTCAAGCAGAATTTTTCATCTAAAGCAGAATCCAGGGATATTAGAGAACTAAGGTTCATTAGGTTCTAATTTAGCAACACAAGATCCATGTAATGAAGCTATACAGCACATTGCTTTAGGATATCTTAAATATTAAAATTAAGATGGAAAATGCACATCATTTCTGAAAATATCCAACCTATAAAGCATTTTGTACAACTATTACAGTACAACACACTACAAATACTACAGTACAAATACCTGGATCACCACAAACAAGATCTTGTTATTACTGAAAGAAATGGCAAGACAACAACTGCAGACAGATTACAATGCCCATTTTCTACAGATTTTAATAGAGCACTTCTATTACATTCTTGCAATGCAGTGGAAAAAAAATTCACTTAAATGTGCTGTCATTGTACCTGTTGCCTCAAGCCATAAAATTTTGCTATTGGTTCTGAAGATCCCACTGCCTCTTCCATAGCATATAAGTGGATATCATCCTGAACACTTTGAGCTGGCCAGAACCCGACCACACCTCTGGCTTGTAATTTCTTTTGATTAATCAATGTTTTCAGTAGATCTTGCGCATCGTTATAAACTCTCCTTGCTTCTTCACCTAGCCAAAAAAAAAAAATTAAAAAAAAAAATCCCTTTAGAAACAGTATGTTTTCACAACTGGCTAAATAGGTTTAAGAATTGTTGAAGATTGATTCACTTTCCACATAATTCTCTGATGACTGCAGTGATCTGTCAGCTGCAGCAAATAGGGAGACTTCAGTGTGATCATGTCTATATAGCTGTAACAACATATATTTTAGGGGGAAAAAAACCCCAAATGCATGAAATGTTTCAGCCAGCATGTTTCAGACCTGGTGTGTGCACCTACATTATCACAGAGCAGCAGACCCAGAAGGTTGTTTTCAGTGTCACCCTTGCACTTTCATCATGTATTTCAAGGCCTACTGACTAGTTTCAAGAGGAGACAGAGCTCTCTTGCCATCTTCACCCACAACGGGAACATAGATATATCAAATGCTCTGCTGCCATTTTCTACCATTAAAATACCTCCCTGTGCTTTGGCAGGTGAATGCTAAATAAGGTCACTGAACATTTTTCCCCATTTATTTTTCAGCCTCACATGGCAACAGTTAGTTCATCAAGCGTTGTTTTAAACAAATTATTTCAACGACATTACTTTCCATGTGTTTTCACTATTTCTATGTATTTCAAAACATTCAGAATCTTAATGCAGCACGACAGGCTTGCTAGGATTCTTTACATGAAATAAAATTCAATACTTACCCACAGTTTTATCACTAAAGATCTTAGGAAAACTCCGGTTGGGATATTTTCCCCTAAGCTGCCAGACATCAAAGAAGGGCTTCCAGTCAATGTATTCTACCAGCCTCTTCAGGTCATAATCTTCAAAGACTTTTGTGCCGATGAATTTTGGTTTAACTGTAGGAATCAGAAGTATGATTTGACATGCTGAAAATAATTTAACATTGCTCTTATATGTGCTGCATAACTGATGCTCACCAGCCTCCACCACTGCAAATGACCTCTTCCAAATTAATTGTCTTAGAATTCTCATTGTCATATTGTTCCCAAATCATACCACACTCCATAGTTACAAAAAACATAAAAAGCATATAAAGTTGAAATAGAAAAACTAAGGCCTTTTGTTCTTTCACATAAATCAAGACTTATTAGCTGTTGGACTTTGGAACTTACTTCAGTGGCCAGAATGTTGGCCAAGACAGAACACTGAAAAAAACCTACACAACTTACCAATACCTAACATATTTTATGAGCATATATACCTTTCATATTTACAAATCCCTCCACAGAGACATGTTACATGCTATGATACTGCAGAATATTTGTGTAATTTTTTATGTAATTTCTAGGAACTTCTGCAGCCAGCACACACCTGTTTAGATGCACGTGCACAAGTGAAAACATGAGATTGATATATGTGTGCAAAGCCACAAGCTTTTCATTTGTTTTCTCTGTGCTGTTCAATACTTTATAACACAACCTTTATCAAGATGAGCTATTGAAAGTTAGCATCTTGTTGAGTCTTGTAAATGAAATGACGGAAAGCAGTGTTAATGTCACTGCAGGATGCAACTTCTTGTGGAATGCTGTTTACACTTCTAATCTTTAATTTAAAAGAAGAAAAAAATCAAAGCAACCCAGTACAAAAAACGATGGGGGAATGGTAGGAAAAAGTGTAAGGAGGAATTTCATAGAAATGCCATGTCACAACCTGTGTGCCACGTCACAACTATACGACACCAAGTATGGTGTAGTAAGCTTTGCAATGTAATGAGCCAGGCGGACATCATTTTTCAAAGTGGTCGTTAGATTTTTCTTTGACTATATCATGTTATGCGTAACTCATTGTTTTAGGATTTTCTTTCCAATTTTTTATTAAGTTGAAATTTAATTTTTAAATGAGCTGTGAAAAAATAAAGCAGAAACAGATTACTCAAGTTTATGCAAAACCATCTTTGCTGAGACAGACCCCAATTTACTTAAGCTGTTACACTGCTATATTCTGAAATTTAATCAAGCATAATTTAATTAAAAATGTATCTTAAATAAATACATTAAATAAAACAAAGGCACAGCAACAACAACCAAAACATATAAACTGACCCGGTTTATGGCCTGATAACCAGTCATTATGGAAACCTTTTCTTCTAGCCTGCTGTAGAGACAAGTATCTTCTTTCCTGTATAGACATAAAGGTGAATTTCAGAAAGCCAGCCATTTTTCAGACACATAAACTGTAACTGTTGACTTTGTGGTAGAGTTCAAAATACTCTTCAGGATAAATGTGACAACCAATAATTTCAGTCCCAACAACTCTAAGTTCACAGGTGTAAAGTAAGATTACTCCACAACCATACCATTATTTTTTCCTGTATACTTCTAATAAACCTGGTCTACAAGATTTCTGGTTCCTCTGAACTACAACAGAGGTTCCTTTATTACTTCAAAATACACTAAAATACAGGTACAGCAAAATATTCTCCTATTGCTCAGATCCCTCACCTACACAAGACTAAGACATTAGGAAAGCATGGTGTTTTAAAATACAATGTGGCTCAGTACCAGCAAAAGCCACCAGTGCCATTTTCGTTATCCTGTCTGTAGCTTCCCATTTTCAGCTACTGCTCTAGGAGAGCACAAGTCTCCTGTAGGTTGACTGCCAGCTCCATGGAGGTGTCCTAGATACCATTGATTAGCCACTGATGACAATCAAGGATTTGCCAAATATGTTAGACTCGTGCAGAATTTTCCCTTATAGGTTAGAAAATTTGATTTCATAAGCATTTCTGGAAGTTTTCAATCAATTCTACTGGAAGTTTTAAATGAGAACAAATACACCTGAAGTTCTTCATAAGGAGCTGAAACCAAGAGTAATGAGGCAAGTGCCAACCACTTCAAATGACGCTAAATCAATTACATTTGTACCTTGAGAGACTCATAATGTTCTTGTCTAATTTCTTCATATTCCTCTAATATTTCTTCAAAGAAATCATCCTTTACACTATTGTCTAAGAGCTGGGAGCACTGAAAAAAACAGGAAAGAGAAAGCAGTAAGTACATACTGTAACATACTGTAATAAGGACAGAGTATGAATTTCAGACTAAGCAGTCTCTTTTGGACTCACTTCCAATTACAATTGGCAACACTAAACTAAGCCTTACCAATAATCTGCAAACTAGATTCAAACTATTCAAACTATCCATATTTGGAATATGAGTACTACTGAGAGCACTGCCCTACTTCACAGGTAGTATTAGCAGAGCCAAGTCTGGCTCTGAAAAGACGTGACAGGAAAATACTCAAAAACTTCAAAAACTAATAGCCACAGAAACAACACGCTGCTTGGCCTACTTCTTACAAGTAAGAATTTGCCAGCTAAGACCACCCATTTCTCTGAAAGAGAATCCAGCCCAAAAAACTCCAGCCGCACGTTTCTCTTTACTTATGTTGCCATCTAACTAACTTCAGAAATATATCCAAATTAGAGAGAATAGCAGTTCTTATCTAACTCTATTGCTCTTCACTATAAAATATCTCAAAACTACAGTCAAGGACTCAGAGTTAATGTCACCCTCACTAAAGAAATGTGGCATTTAAATAAAAGTACCTAGTGACAATAACTGACATAAGTCAGGTGAGAGAACCACGTGGTAGCAAAAAATCAACTGAAGCAAGAGTAGTTCAGAAACTTGTCTCTGTCGTGCTTCTTCAATTTTCTGCTACAACATTAAGCCTTAGAGGAAGGACGAGAGGCACAACAGAAAAACAGGGCATGTATTTTTGCATGGATGAAAAACTATAATTTAGAACTTACAACCACAACACTCTTGGATGCATCCAGGACATGAATTACAGGTGCGCTATATCGTGGGGCAATTTTAACAGCTGTGTGTGTTCTTCAATGAAAAAGAAAAAGAGTGAGCATTTCATAACTGATGCAAAAAACCAACAAAACCAAAACACCCAACAAAAACAGACAAAACCCCCAGTGAAATAAATCCTGACTTAACCACAGACTAGAACTTCAAAAGAAGTTCGTTTGTCCATCTGCTACACATGAATCATTAAACACAGATTTTAATAATAGGTACATAAACACTTTTCTTCAAAGAGTATCAGAACACTCCATAAATAACGTGCCAACTCACATTCCCTCACTGTCTTACCAGCTGAATGAAAATCAGCAACTCATTAGTTTGAGTCTCAGAAAATTTCAGTGACAATGTTCCAAACTAAGCCTACCAAGAACTAACAATTTTTTTAATCCTTTTTGCTCATCTTACATTTTTCCCTCCCACATGCTGGGTCTATAGACTAGCATTAACCTAATTCAGGGATGATTATTCCATTTCTGCAAGGCTCTACTTCAAAATTGGAGGCTCAAGTCCTCTACTCGCCTGAAGAAGGAATTCTGCCAGTGGTCAATAAATATTACAAACTTGCATCTTGAAGATACAGTGAACCTTGCATTATAACTATAGGAGTAATAAAGACAGGTAGTGATCCTACTTCTCCACTGTCTGTCAGATTATGAGACAATAGGTCTGCTACAACATGTGCTGCTCTGATAAAGAAAGGAACACTGCTAACAGCTTCTAGTGATGAAAGAACCTCTGCTCAGAGTCCTGCCAAAACTCTGCAAGAAAGTGTAGGAACAAAGACCTTATAGGCCAAAGCCCCGTTTGCTTTCTTGTATGCTAAGGTCAAACACCATTCTTTAAATAAGATCTAAATCTGAGTCCAGGAAGCAACCTTCCACAGCTGAAATAAGATCTCCTTTTTCTTCAGGTTCTGTCAAATATTTAAAGCACTTGAACACAGAGGTTTACTGATGACTGTGCAACACAGCTGTGTAAACACTGTCCAGCATCTTCTGAATTTGCTGCTAGGAAACAGACTTCTGATCTTGGCAGCAATATGTTTTACAAAGATATTGTATCTTCTGTTCTGATAGGGACAAAGGAAACAAAGAGGACATGGTCCTACAATGGCACTGTATCAACCACTACATACTAATTTTTATATTTTTTTTAAAAATAAACTTTACCACAGAGAGAATGTCACCATTATTTCTCAGCATCTGAATTTACCAAAGCAGCACAGTAAGAATGCAAACATCATCATTACTGTAAATTATGAAGAAACTCTACTGTGCAGATTCTGGAGACAAAATCCATCCTCTCTCTCTTTTAAACTAACCTCACCTTACACCCTTCAAAATATTTACGGTCTCCTTATTCCAAATAACAACATCTACTTTTCACAGAGAAAAAAAAATTGTAGATGGTTCTTCATTAGCAACCTCTGACACATACACAACGTTTGAGAATGTACACATGAAGTTAAGCTTAAGACTGGGAAAGTAAAATTAAATATATATTATGAATCCAGTCTTCCATATAGAATACCTTTACTTGACATATATTTTATAGACACTGTATTGTGTCTGGGCACATGCATAAGTGTATATTTATATACAGTTGACATAAATAAAATTACTATTTATGTATTCAAAATTATGTATATATTCTTCAGTAATTTCCATATTCAAGGATAAAACTAGTGCTACCTCCCTCTTAGCTACATTCATCTCTGTGAATAAATTCTACAAAATTGTTTGATGGTGGTTATTTGACATGGATTACAAGACCACAATACCTCGTGTGAAAACACTGAAAAGATCTGAAGAAAGGGCTCTCCTAAGACCTCCACTTAGAATAAAGCCTTCCCTTCACTCAACTCCTGTTTTTTTTTTTTTTAAGGAAAAACCCTCCATGTTTGTTGTCAGTATCAAAGTCGTAGGAAGAGACTCACAGGGAGAAGGAGAAAAAGAATACAGTGAACCTTGCATTACAATTACAGGAACAATAAAGACTGGTAGTGATCCTACTCTCCACCATCTGTCAGATTATGAGACAATTTGCTAAAGACAAAAATACAGAATAGGTCTGGCTACAATATGTGCTGCTCTGATAACAAAAGCAACACCACTAACAGCTACACAAAAAATGACCTCTGCAGTCTTCTGAGCTGTCACCTACTCAAGCATACTGCAACCTAAAGGAGCCAGCAAAGCGTGACCCAAGGCCATTATACGTGCCCAAAACACATCTGTGGTAATGTTAAGACTAGGTGTCAGTGAGCTGTCAATACTGATCTTCAGGAAATCATAGTAGCTCTATTATTTCATTTGAACAGACCTGAGAGAACAAGATATCAACAGAAAAGCTCAGTCTATCAAATGCAACATGCTAAGTATTTCAAAGCAAGCAGCTAGACTTTATCCCCTATCAGCCTGTTTGAACAGGACTGGAGACTCAGCCCAGTCATCACCTTTCTAAACAATGATCCAGGAAAATACAGTAACTTTCTTAAAGATAATAGCTCTCTAATGTCAACATGATCATTTCATGTCTCAAAATCCTGCATTTCTGGAATGCTTTGATGAATCAAAGTAGAACATTCAAGCTGTTGGAAGAACAGAACTGTATTCACACGCGTATGTGCATGAACTTTTAGAGGAAATACAGTACTTCCACATACAATATACACTTGCAAAATACACACTTGTAAAAATTAAATGTTTAAGATGTCCATTATTTGTTATGTCCTGATTACATTTTACCTCTGTATTCTAGGATTTCTAAGACAAGAAGTAACTGTCAATCATAAGTAAATACATACCAGTATGTATGTTACAGAAAAATGGGGAAAGGGGTAAAAAAATGGCTGTAAATTTTCTTTTTCCCTAGTTAACACTATTTTCACAGATATTGCCCATACTCCCAACTGAGATATCTTACTTAGAAGTAGTTGCTCCTCCAATCAGCAAAGGAATCTTTATTGCCAATCTCTCCATTTCCTTAGCGACAAAAATCATCTCATCCAAAGACGGGGTGATGAGACCAGACAGGCCAATTATATCTATTGCAAATTTACAAACACACATACACAAGGGGTTTAGCAAATCCACTCTAGAAAGACACAGAAATTATTACAGAAAGGTTTATTTCATACATCAGATAACTTCATGTGTCAGAAAATAATGAGATAAAAAGCAGGGTAGTCATGAGCCTATAAGGAAGGTTTGACCCAATTAAAAAGTAAAAGCTTTCCAAGAATGACAATGATTCCAAATCCCCAGTTTAAGATATTTCCCAGTCTTCACAGCTGCTGAACATCTACTGCTCTGGTTTCAACAATAAATAAACAGTACTTTTGATTAGCAAGCTCCAAGCCTCAGAAGCTCAGCACTGAGGACCGAAATAAGACACAATAATTATAAGCTCTGCTCTTGGAAACGCTTTCAAACTTCACCATCTATGTTCCACACAATTCATCTTTTCCAAGATGCAGTAGACTGTTTCAAAGCAACTGCAACTTGTTTCAGAAAGTTCATTATTTATTACAACAATTCATTCCTGCTTTCACACTCACTGATCTGGCAAGCCAAATGCCAAGTTCTTTCACTGCTTTAAGACCCAACAAGGAGTTACCTAAACCATTTCAAGGCTCCATTTATCCCCCTGTAAAACAAATACTAAAGCATCTCTCATGGAATTGTCCTTTTGATACAGGGTTTCAACTCCTCGGGCTAAGTTTCACAGAAGTGCCAAATGCTAAATAATTAATATTGTTAATGCAGCAGTTCTGATTTCTCTGAAGATAGTCTAGACCAAATCATAGACAGCATAGGAATGCAATAAGCAGCAATAAAAAATGCAAGTGTGGTTTAAAAATCAAACAATTCAGAAGTACTAATGAAATCTCTCTATACCTGCTTTGTTCTCAACAGCAGCTCTCAATATCTTATCACATGGAGTCATGACTCCTAAATCAATAACTCTGTGAAAAGAAGTGAGATGACACACGATCCTTTAAATAATAAATAAAATATCTGCTGAAGGGCAAATACATTTCCTTTACCGTAAATAACTGACCTAAAATTGAAGTTAAAATTGAGATTTTTGTTTGTTTCTCTTAAGACCACTTTTGGGAATTTCAATATAGGAAACATCTCTGGGTCTGGCAAAATTTTCAATAAGTCAGAGTTCCAGATGGCATAGTAGTTAAGAAAATTCAAGTGTAAGAGGCTTTTTTTTTAGTTAAATAAGTTTTTGTGGTTGCACTAAGTCTGGCTGAGATGAGTTAATTTTCTTCACAGCAGCTGGTATGGTGCTGTGTTTTAGATCTGTGACCAAAACAATACTGCTAACATTCTAAAATTTAACTACTGATGAACAGTGTTTTCCCAGCATCAAGGCCTTCTCTGTTTCTTACTCTAACCCCCCAAGGAATAGACTGTGAGTAGACACAACCAGACAGATGGCCCAAACTAACCATAGAAATATTCCATGTCGTATGATGTCAAGCTCAGCAATAAAAAAGGAGAGTAAGGGGTTTAGCAGGGGTTATCCATCTTTGAGTCAGGAACTGGCTAAGCACCAGTGTACCCATGGGAGGTGCAAGGGGATTGCCTTTGCATCACATGTTTTGTTTTTATTTTCTCTCTTCTTTCACTTCCTCTTCACTTGTTAAACATTCTTCTCCCCTCACAATTTTTCTTGCTTTTATTCTTCCTTTCCTCTTTCCCCATCCCACTGAGGTTGGCTGGGTGGAAATGACTGGCTGGTGCTTAGCTGCTTACCAGGGCTGTCAACAGCAGTGGCATTTCTGACATTATCTGGATAACATAAAAAGGTTTTGTGGACATCATATCTTATATTAGGAATATAAGATGATTCACATCAAAGTTGTGCCTTATTAAAGTGTACATTTTATTAAATGAGACACTGCACTTCCCTTATTACCATTTTAATCCTATTAACCCTAGCCATTGCTAAGGTTTTTATTTTTTCAAGTAAGGCACCCCAGCCTGCTGTTTTCATTCAGCCTCACTCACTACTCATGGTGACAGAAAACTCTCTGGCTTCAGTTCAGTAAGTGTAAATAAAGCTCAAGAAAGCCTGAAACCAATCGACAGAATTTCAAGAGAAAATTAAGTTGAATATATTGCATATACACAGCACTGCTACTGCCTTCAACACTTTGTGTTTTAAAATAAAGGGATAATTTTGGCTCTTTTTAGAGTAAATGACAACCCAAAGTCAAAGCAAAACTAAAGGAATGAATGATAAGACAGAGCTCCAAAGGTGATTCAGCTTTGTGCAACACCTGACAGACCCTTGACAAAGGGCACTGATGGGAATGTGACCACTCCTTCCAACACTGTTGCCAACCCTGCTGTGCATAGACAGGCCATGAAAGACCTGACTTTTCTTGAAGTTCTAACTTTTGAAGTTCAGAAACTCACCTCTTATTTAACAAAACATACCCCAGCAAGTTTTTAAAACTCATAGTTAACAAAAAGCTTGAAAAACACACTAGAAGTTTCATTCTAATCTTACAAGACTTTCTTTTTTCTCAACGCAACCCACACACAACAATTGCAGTGGGCAGTACTGTATCTCATTTCTTCAGACATTATACTTATAAGACATCATACTTATTACATTTAACTGATATAAAACAAATACAAAAATTGATGTTCTTACTTATGTTCCCACTGATGTTAAACTGCATTCACCTCAGATGCCAATTTATTAGGAAACACAGTATTAAATGAGGAGGCAATACTCCATCTTGCCCCACTCATTAGTAAAGCTGCCATCATCTGTATTCCCAATCACAATTTGGGGAATAGAGGACAGTTCCCAAGAAATGCCCACCTCTGCTATCACCACAGCTAAAGTTAGTCTGAGGTATTAATTATCTATGCATATACAGTTGTGTTCACAGTTAGTCTCTTTACCTGAAGTTGTTGCAGCCCAGAACAACTCCCACAATGTTCTTGCCAATGTCATGTACGTCTCCTTTCACAGTTGCTAATACTATTGTACCCTGATACGGATCCTGCAAGTTGAAGAAATAACACAAGAGTTAAATTGCTCAGAAGCCTCAGTATGTTTGTACAGATTCTTCAACGGTGCAATCCCAATCCATGTCCCAAATTCCTTTTGTAGTAATTGCAAAGCATAGTGGAGATAATATAGTAAATTATAAAATTTTTTTTAAAAGATCCAGGAAATTGAAACTTGCACATGAATTATTCTTGCAAATTGCATGGATGTTATTCAAAAATCTGTGTTTAAAAACAAAATAGCAGATAAAACTATTTCAGATCTGGATAGCGTTTTGTGCAGTGCAATAACTGAACTCCTAAGGTACTTCTGCTCCAAATATACACCTCACCAATAAAGAGATTAAATAGATTAAATATTTAGAACAAAAGGGCATGAATACTCATAATAACATGCCTGTCTCTGCATCAAGATCTATCTTTCAATGCAATGCTGAGAAGAACAAGGAAACAGAAACATTAGAAGGAAATTAGCATTAGAGCAACATTAGAGGAATTAGCAAAAGCTAAGAGACCATTTTTTATGCAACACAAATAGCAAGGGAGACATTTCAGTGCAGTGATCACACTACTTCAGATTACCCAAGCTGAACAAACGGGCTGGAAGAAGGATCTGTTTGAAGAAGGGAAGCTGTTCTGTCACAAGAAGGTCCTCGGTTAGATGGCATTCAGCCTGACCAAGGGTGCTACCAACAGTGCAACAGTGAAACTTCCCACAGCAGTTCTCCACCAGGACACAGGACATGGCAATACATTTTTAATCACTGTTGTCATTTGGAGCAGCTCCAGGCTATAACACTGCTATGTCTGAGTTGGTGCAGAATCAGATGGCAGTAAGCAACTACTTAAATTGTACAGAGCATATTCTATGCAGAACTACAAAATATTTTTCCAGACAGTATCTCATCTCCTCTGCAGATGGCAGAACCGAATGATTAAATCCTTCTATGAAGCATGTCATATTTCTGGACATTCTGAGTAGCTCTCTCTTTCATGAACCTACATTGCCTTCTGTAGTTGCAATATTATGGGTTAAAAAAAACTTTATATATTACCAAGAATGATATTAGTATTTCCGATGGTCCTAGCACATTTGTTGAATAAAATCCCTGGATCCCCACCAATGCTGCTGTTTACTAAAATCTATTATTTCCCCAGTGCTTCTGTTTTACAGAAGACTGGAGAACAGGGAAGGGAAGATGGAGGTCTGTAAGTCAGCCATCTCAGTACATCAACGAAAATTTTGCAAGTGAAAATATACTGCTGGAATGTAAGAGGAATTTGGGGAAAGAGATTAATCAAGGACAGGAGAAAAAACAAAAAGTGCTGCCCCATATTGTATCACACCTAATAACTAATGATGATTTAATTAGTGATTGATATAAAAAAAATTTTAATACAAATTGAATTTGCACATGAGAGGAAGAAAAATCTGTGCTGTGCAGCAAACAACATGGGCCAGAGCACATGCCACTTTAAATAAACCCTATTTAGGGCACACTGTGATTTCAATTGTCTTAAGCAAGGAGGTCCTCAAGTTCTGGGCACACATCCAAAGGGCTTCTTTTTTTTAATCTTCATAGAGATCCGCAGCCACAGCTATTTATCCTCAAATGTAACTATCAATGCTTTGCACTTCCTGGCAGTCTGTGACTAAAACAGTCCTGGAGGTTACAGTAGCCTGGGTAACATCAGACAGATCAGTTACCAGAGTCTGCAAATCGTTTTCCTTCAAGTCAACATCTAACTTTGGAGACAGACGCAACTGCTTTTATCTCACTCCCCAATTCTCTACACAGTGACAACATATTTTTGTAAGAGGAAGGCATTACATCCCTTTCCCAGCAGAAGGTAGAAGAAGAAGGAGGACAGAAGTCCTGCCTTTTCCCTCCTGTTCTCCTCAGCCACCAGAACATCTACACTCTCTTCGAGAGTGTTTGCTATCTTTTTAAGAACCTCCCAAATTCCACTTCACTTCTTATAACCAGAGAATTAAGTCCCAGATGATTCAGAGAAGACCCTAATCCAGTGCTCAGGGAAGCAATGGGGCAACAATTTTCAATGACTTTAGATAGCATCAGAACAAACCAGAAGGTGTAAAATACCAGCATCGCCGTCTGAATTAAAATAAAAGGGAACAGCATGAGCTGGAGAGAGATGACACATAGAAAGGTAACTCGTGACAGCCAAAGAACAGATCCACTTGAGATACAGCAGAGAAGGCATCCACAAAGAGCATGGGAAAAGAGACCAGGCATTCTCCTGCTTCCATTAAGATTAGTCAGGTTTGATTATCAGGTCATTTTTCTTTCTAAATTATTTACCGTATTTGCTACATTTATGTTGGACAATTACACAACATATCCACAGCAAGTAGAAAGATATCATGTAAGAAGATTTCAAGGGAAGAATTAGGAACCATTCAAAAATCCATAAAAGGAAACCCGAAGGAAATACACAAATATCACAGTTTAGAAAAATTCTGCTGTTCTTCCTTTTTTGTCTGTGTTAAAAACTAGGTTCTGATTAAAGCTATTGTCTCTGAGAACTCATGAAGACAAGATAAGGTTCCACAGGACTAAGAAAACGTAAATGTACATCAAACCTAAATCTGATAGTCAGACAAAGACAAGAGAAGAAGAAAAATATTTAACAACCAAAACCATAAGCACCTATCACATTATATAGTAAAAACAGCAGACACGAGTAATATAAATGGGATTTTGTCCAATTCATCTCAACTCTCTTTTCTACTGAATACAGTCTTGTCAGTATGGACAAACAAGGTACATCCTGTATCTTCATTTTTCTGTTGCTCCTATCACATATTTCATTTACCAAACTTGGAAGCAGTTACTTCAAGTATATTCACAGGTAGTTGATAAAACTACTCTCAGGCATCAGCAACTGGCTGCGAAACAGGAACTGCAATAAAGGCCCACAGCAATCCAAAAATCATTGGGTACTTTAAAATATATTTTACATATTAGATAAAAAGTAATTTTCAGAAACTGGTGGCAAAACACACACAAAAAGACAACTATAGTCAGGCCCTGTTTTCATAACACTTTTCCCCTGCAAGTTGGTCATGGCTACACATGCAGTGAGCATACTATTCTATCATAACAACATCTCTTGAAGTCACAATCTGTGAAGAAAAAGGGTGGAAGAAATTGGTTTGTTTAGCTGGAAGAATGATAAGGGCTATGAAGTAGAGAAGAGTTGAATAAAGAGAAACATGGTGACAGGCTTTGAACATGAAAAGGGAGTTACAGAGTTCAGCGAGAGTAGAAGTAGTAGAAGCAAGTGGCAAAATCTGCCATGAAGTTAGAAGTATCATGAATAAGTAACACTAGAACTAAATGCCTACAAAAATACAAGAAATTAAGTTACATCAGTATAAAGGGCCTACAAAGGCTTATGGCACCGATCAGGAAACTTGTGATAACACAAAATCTGCACTTTATGAATTTCAGACCAACTTCAAATTATGCCAAGGTTGTCAGTTTGCATAAGACTGCATCAACTCTCCAGGCAGTAAAAGTAATTAGTAATAAATAATTCCTATATTTGTCAGAGCATGCTGTGACAGAGTTACAGACTGTATCTTGCCTCTTCCTCTATGCTGCCTCGTTTGGCTCTCCTTTCCTCTCTTTCTTTTTCCATATAGGGAATAAGGTGGCCAACTGCTTTCTTCATAACTCGAGCAGACTTTATCACCTGCACAGATAAAGGAGGGGGGGGCAGAATAAACAATAAAGACAAGGTACAGGAATAGCTTCAGTTTTCCCCTAGCTTTCTCTTATACCCATTCAAGCAATAAATGAAACTTCATTTGCAGATTCAGGTTCCAGCTTTGCAGATTATTCTGTGGCAGCAGGCTGCTGGCTGGGCTAAGGATCAACATGACACTTTCTTGCACAGTGCAGCCTCCTGGACCACTCACAACAGAACTGAAAGCTACAAACAGGCCCAGACTTGGAAGGCGCTAAATGCAGTAATTTTTATTTGGATCTTTTATCTCTCTTGCTCTTTTTCATGGGCTTAGACTTAAAAGTGTGTTTCAAATAAAGCAAAAACACTCAGGAAGAAAGGAAACAAACACATAATCCTACATAAAGGAAGTCAGGTTGCAAAATAAAACATGAAAATTGCTGTTTCTCAGCAGCAACTGAATTTTTACAATTCCTCCTATCTGAAAAAACAGCCAGCATAGAATGTTTTGGCTACATTTTACAATACTAATTTTTGCAAAAGAGTAAAATATATGAAATTATTTTCTCATTACCTGAGGCAGAAACATCTTCCCAGCACCAAAAAGATCACCAACAATTTTCATGCCATTCATCAAAGGTCCTTCAATTACGTTTAGAGGTCTAGGATATTTTTCCTGATTTAATCTTGCTTCTTCTGTATCTGCAGTGACATACTTCTCAATGCCCTGAGAAAAAAATTGAGAAGCTTTTATCTTGCTAGAAATACAACTTTCATTTAGTTGCCTTCTCCCAAAAAAAGACAAAAGAAATCACACAGAAAGTACAAGTAGATGCTTTAGATACTGATACTCTTTAAGAATACCTCAAATGTGTATCGAAAATAGGCTTTCTTAAGAAACAAAACGCTACACTTCTTAGGCATATAAAGTTATTCAAAGGAAGTCCCCACTATTAACAGATTTGTTCATTTTTCTCAACCATGTCATAAGAAAAACCCAACACTCAAAGATTGCTTCCACAGCACAAGTGCCACTCAGTGCAGTACTACTAAAGGACCAAAAAAAGCCCTAGGAAGTAAAAGCAGTATGTCACAAAGTAAAAGCAGTATGTTTCTACAAACACAGTGGAATAAAATACTAGAGATCAAAGACTTCAACTTGTGAAGTTTAAAGATAAACCACTACAGTTTTTTCTGTTATTGAAGTTAAACAGAGCAGTTAAATATATTATTAATTATTAATTAATAGCTTGTTAAAGAACAGCAGCTGAAGAACTTTTAAAGGTAAGTATGTCCCTTAAAGTCTCAGCTGAGATCATGTCTCTGAGAGCTGATGGGTAGGACAGTTTTCTGCACAGATTTACCTTTATGAGAGCATATTCCAGCCTTTCCTCCACAGAGCTTTTACGCCACTCATCAGTCTGTACAACTTTCTTTCCTCCTTGGGCATGATTCTGAAAAAGAGAGACATCCAGAGGAGCTTGCAAGCATAAAAACTACAATTATGGACTTTACTTTTAGAAAAATTTAGGTAATTTCAATACTGAGTCATAAAATAATTTTAGACTATTCAAACGGTTTTTTATACACATGCAAATCACGCTGCAAACACCTGAGATGTACTATAGGCACTTAGGGGGATCTACATCCCAAAGGGTACATACCTCAGTGAAAATGTAAACAAAATAAAGTAAAAAAAAAAAGTTACTAAAAAAAAAAAAGAAAGCGAGAGCAGTTTGATAATTTTTATGCTCCTAAAAATGATGAAATTACTAATCCTAAGGGTTTCACTTCTGGGAACATAATTTAAATTGATTCCTCGCCCGCACACTACACTTAATTTTAAAATTCTAATTAATTTGGCTCTAATTCAGTTTCTGCTGGAATAGGTTATGTTATTGCATATCACAGACATGTTTTCAATCAGGCAGCCCACAAAACTACTGTTTGTCATGCACACAGACTGTCCCAAACCACCACATATTCTCTTTGTCTCACCCTCATGCTCCTCTTGGCTATGAACGCAGAGGCCAAAAGGGCTTCACAGTGCAAGAAAGTTCATGACCACCCATCTCAGAAAGGCTCGTGGAAGAGCACCTTATCCATTAATTCAGCCATCACACTTCAGGCAAGTAATTGCTTTCCCTCGCTCAGTTACTGGACATAATCTGACATCTTTCAGGCCTTACGAACCTCATGTACTTTTGAGTGCTCATCAGCATGTTTTTAAAGATAAAGCCATGGAAACAATATCACACTCATGGGAACAGAAACCAGAACAAGTTTTCATTCACGTTTATATGAACGTTAGCTAACTTCACAGCTTCTTGTTGTCTGATTTTATTCCCCTCATACATCTAGTTTGTAAAAAGGGAATGAAAGGAGGAAAATGTTGCTTGGAGATGTTGTAAAGTCCTCATTCTAAGTTAAATTAAAAATTTGACTGGACATGTCCGTGGCTGGCCCTGCTTTGAGCAGAAGGGTTGTACTAGATGACCTCCAGAGGTCCCTTTCCACTTCAGCCCTTCTGTGATTCATTGAAACGGTACCAAGTGCTCCTCAACCTCTGGCCAGACAATTTAGCAAGGGAACCATTCCAACCTAAAAATAACATGAAGCTGTAGGGTCGGCATGCAGGGACCACAGTGACAAGCACTATATGCAAATCTTTAAAAACAGGATGATAATACCAAATAATGAGGATGAAAAAACCTGCCTTTGGAAGCACAACTCTCCTTGTCATAAATGGAATGAAGTTTCAGTTTGAGAATGTCTGAAGCTGTATACTTTACGGAAAATGTTTTTTATTTCAATCTTCAAATGAAGACTGATGCCCTAAACCTGCAAGGATTAAGCTCCTCTTTTTTGCAACTGCGCTATTTTACTCTCACAATAAAACTACCACCACAAATAAAAGCAGAGATTCCAACAACAGCTTCCCAAACTTATAGACCTGGAAGTCATCATCCACTTTCATTTCTACTTCTAAATTAATCATTTCTCCATTTAAATTCACGTTACGCCTTCTGCAGAAACACTGCTTAAGGAATCCCTTTCTAATTCTCCTTTTTTTTCTTCCTCTTTATGCAACCTTGAATACCCCAATGGTGCCACTCCACTTAAACAGACAAGATCACTCTCAGATGAATTGCTTAGACACTACGAGCACCATCTAAAATAGCCTAAGTACAACAGACAGAGAGTGTCTCCCTGTACTGGTTTGCAAAACACTGCCACTGTTACTATAAAGCATGTACCACCATAGGGTAAACTACAAAGCAAATGAAACTCTACACAGAAATAATATCTCCAGGAGCTACAAAACAGACATGCAAACCTTCTTGTGCAATTCAACCTAAGAGCCACCTAACCGAGAGAGATTTTTGCTGTATCTTCCATTCAGAACAGGATTGCACCAGTTGTCTTACGAATGATAATCCTGAAACCTTCAGTTGTATAATCTTTGTCTTTTATCACCACCGTCATTACAACATCTCAAAAACACTAAATAGCTGATCCTCATCCTGACACGTTACATGAACAGGAAATCTATGCCACAGCTACAAACCACAAGTAACTACTTCACCTTTTACCTATACTGCAAACAAACCATTACCACCAGAGAGAAAGGTTTACTCTGTCTCCCACAGTGCACTTGTCAATTAAGTTCCAGCACCAAGACTAGCTTGGTTGGGGTTGGCCTCTTCTGGGTTTGGTTTTTTTGTCGGTTTGTGAGGGCTTTCTTTGTTTGGGGGAAGTTCGTTTGGGATTTTTTGCTTCTTATTTTTGTTGGGTTTTGGTGTGTTGTTTTTTTTTTTTAAAGAATGCCTATGCAGCTTGGTCTCCTGAAGCATATGAAGAACTCTGTACCAGATCTTCCATGGCACCTACAAAATTGGAGAGTCTCAATCTACCACACATTTCTTTTTATTCTACATTAATAACTGAACCACTTGTAGTATTGTCAGTAAATTCTAACACCCACTGTTATATTGACATATGCAGTTTATATTATCATCTGCAGGGAGGTGTTCAAGCCCAGGTGCTAAACTAACTACTAGTCAAAGCTTAAAACTGAAAGTTACCTGAGCATAATGTAAAAGTTTCTCTGTTGCATCAGGATCTTTGTTCCAGATTAGATTCTCACACAGTTGTAGTAATTCCTTGTGGATATCATCATACACCGGCAGATTCCCAGCATTCACAATTCCCATGTCCATGCCATACTGAAGAAAAACAGAGAATCCCCCAGAAAGGGCTGTCAGACATGGAACTGCACACCTGCCAAGTGCAAACACATGGAAGCCAAAAGCACATCATACCTTAATTGCGTGGTAAAGGAACACTCCATGCATTGCTTCTCGAATGGCATCCATTCCACGAAAGGAGAAAGACAGATTGGAAAGACCTCCACTTATCCTGGCTCCTGGCAGTGTTTCCTATAGGAAGTGCACACAGATTTTTAGAAAAGTGCTTTCCAAAAAGGAAATCTAAGCAAAGCATTCAATTCATAAAACAGTTGGCTCCTGAGCTCAGTGCATTGGCTATGCACCCTTTGTCTTCCCTGTTCCAGATCCTTCCAGTTACTCAAATTCATAAAAAGCAATTCAAATCTCTGCAGAAAAAAATATAAGTAAAGGAAAGATCCAGCCTAGTTACGCATGAGCAGCAACCGTGGTTTCCATAGACATAGGTGCTATTCTGAACGCATCAGTCCTCCCACTGCAGCTTTCCGTATTTTCCCCATGCAGACCTACTTTCAGCTCTTCCTTTCCCCACTCCTCTGGAAACAGTAGCAGCCAGCCTGCCTGCTTGCATGTCTCAGGAGCAGACTGCAGCTGAGCAGCTAAGCAGTCCCACTTCCAGGAGACCAGTGGTGACAAAATAGCCTGCTCAAGCCCCAGATTGCTACTGACAGAGGATCTCCTGACCTATCAAAGTGTCTTGTGAAACCCAATAGTGCAGTTTCCCTGGCTCCATTTAGGTGATGCTCTTCGCTGCTGTACTTCCTTCCACACATTTTAGCTAAATAAAAAGTCAAGTTACTGCAAAAACCACTTTCACAGAAACAGGAATTTTATTTAAAAAGGCAGCTTTCTGCAGCTTCAAAGAGGTCCTTCTAGCTAGCACATGAACGTGATTCTTACCTCACTAATTAAGGTACTATATTTACAAAAGATAAAGTGGATTGAAATACAGAACTACTTGAAGTTGTTCTACTGGAAATACAGTTGTATTGGGGAATGGTTGCACTTCAGACGAATAAGATAAGCTTATTCTTGCTAAGCTAAAATGTGTAACATTTTGCAGCAGTGTTTTGCTGTTGTTTTGAGAGGTGGGTGTTTTTCTGTTTTATGGGGGTTTGGGTTTTTAAGTAATGTTAGCAACCAATTTCAACTTAAAATAAGCTTACAACTCACTTTTATGGTTTTAGTAGCATTGATGAAATTTATGGCATAAAGGTTATGTTCTTCCATTCCAGTTCCTATGGTCAAGATATTAGGGTCAAATATTATATCATTTGGATTGAAGTGCACTTTTTCCACAAGGAGATGATAAGCTCTAGAACAGATTGCAATCTTGGTTTCTGTTTCTGTTGCCTAGTGAAGAAAAAGAATTCTGACATGAAACATGACTACACAAAAAATAAACTCTCCAGGAATCATTTACAGCTCCAGTGACTCAAGACTTAGAATCTGAACATCGCAAACATTAGAAAAGGATTATATATACGACTTTTGTATTCAAAATATCACCACCCCTATGCCTGGAGTTTTGACTCAACTCATAAAAAGCAACCTCATTGCTTAATGTTTCGTCATCCTGCAAAGCTTAATATGTGGGTTTTGACATATTTAAATTAATTCACAAAGATTCCACTCTCATGCAAAACATAGTTTCTGAGCTTAAAATCTCTTTTATGAAGGAAGAATTCAGCATGGCTGAATAGCAAGAGACATGGTCTTGTGTTAGCAGAGCTACACTTAAAGTTACTGGATTCCTTAAACATGTGAAGATCATAAGAAATTGCTAGAAATCAGATTCAAAAGTACTGCTAAGGTTATATAGACCTTTTTGAATCAACTTTGTCAATGAAACAAAACAACTTTCTCTTATACAAGAATAAGGAAGTCTCACACTCCTGAAAAAATACCTCTCCTTTAAAGCAACACTCACCTGCCCCACTTCATCAAAAGCCATAACAACCACAGCTGCTCCATATAATTTAATTTTCCTTGCTTTCTCCAAAAAGTCTTCCTCACCTTCCTTCAGGCTGATGCTATTTACAATGCATTTCCCTTGGCAACACTTCAAACCTGCTTCAATCACTGAAAAATTCGAGGAGTCAATGCACAACGGCACCTGTAAATAACAGAGAAGTAAGGCAGGAGAATACATTCACGTTATGGATTACAGTTCCATGTGCTCTTTGCCCATTTGGACATAAAAATCCCATAACACTAATCGGCATTTATGAATAAAAGTTTCCACATGATTCACTTTCCTTTAAATGCAAAACTCAGAGCAAGTTTAACCCAAGAGCTTCCAAGGCAACTCAATCACATATCATATCGAGATCTCTACTTCTCCCTGTATTATCTTGTGTTTCTGATGGAGATACTCATTTTTAGAGAATGCACATTGCAGAACTACCTTTTAAAACCATCCTATATTCATAGCAACTTTAAGTTTTGTGAAAAGCAATACTGTTATGCACTGCAAATATACAGATTATGGCTCATAAGTGCTGCAAAATGAACCTGCATTCAGCTTTTCTAACCAGTGAAAAGGACTAGCATATACTTATCCGAAAACATACAATGTTAAAGCCTTTGTTTCACCCAAAGGCCTTCCCTATTACAGCACCTTTTCCTCTTGGGGAACAACTACATTTACTTATGAAGCACCTAAACTGGTTACTAAATAAAACAGTATTAACCTCTTCTGACGCAATTTACAACTCAATAAAATGTTCTTTATTGTGACTCAATTACAACCTTTGCAATATCAGGTTCTGAAGAAATCAAGTTACAAAATCTGGTCATTGCAGCAGGGCCATCCAGCATCCCATCATCCATATTGATGTCAAGAATCTGGGCCCCCATCTCAACTTGCAGTTTGGCTACACCTAGGGCTTCCTAAAGAACAAAGTAAAAAACCAAAACAACAGTCAGTAGCAGAAAATTCTAGTTTTTCTCAGGATAAGATTTCACTTCCCCAAACTAAGCATGCAGCCAAAAATTTAAAAGTTTGTAAGACATCCCATACGAAAATAAGGAAGTGGCCTCTGATGTACAACAATACACAACAGTTGTTAATATGGGACAACTTCTAACTAGTTTGTTCACAAAACGTGACACCAGAGACCTAAAGTGCTGGTAGTGTCACTGCCTGTTGACTGTTGGTCATATGCTTAATTGAATGGTTTAGGATTTGCATGGTAACAAGGACTTCTGACAGCACAAGATTACAGGAAAACAGTCTCTGTGATGGTATGAAATAAAGGTCTTGCATCACAAGCTCTGTTTTTTTATAACACAGGGTACTTAACTTTTGGAGACTGACATTTCTTCCAGCTGCAAAATAATCACAACTGCTAAGAAAGAAAAGTAAAGCTTTTCCTCCAGCCTACATAGTTATCTGAACATTCATGTCTGGTCACTTTCTCTTTTTTGTCATTCTGCAGAGTCCCTAACAACCTGAGTTTAAAGCTCTCTTTATTTAACAGGTCTAACCTGCTCCATGACTTCTATGAGCTTAAGAGTCAGACTCCCTAAAAAACAAACTAAGGCAGTTTGATTGCATCAACTGTAACATGAGAACATACTCTGAGGCAGAGTCTCAGCTCTCAAGAGAAGTTACTCTACTATTTGTTTCAGCGTTACAGTAACAATTTACACCAGTAAAGAATGAGCCCTTCAGTCTCTTCATTTCTGCCCTGCAGAGGTTTCAAGAAAGCAATTACTTTCTAAGCATCTTTTTCTATACCAACTCTCATGTAGCATGCTGGAGTCAGCAAAGTATATAACAATTAGATGCAACCACAATGCTGACCAGGATTGGAGAAGGGAGGGAAAGAGCACTGACTGCACAGTGCCGCAGTCTATCCCAAAACAAATGTACCTCATATGCTGAGAGGGGATTACACCCACTTTCTTTATTCCTTTCTCTGTAAATCAAACCATAGATGCAGTACAGACCAGGACATTTTCTAAAACCTCATCAGCTGTATAACTTAATAAAAATGGAAAGTCATGTTTCCTGTAATAATTGTCAAAAAAAAAAAAGTCCTTGTAAAACCCTTCTATAAGCAGCTGGTAAGCAGAGAAACAAAGAACAGTGAGAAAACAAATTCTCTGTGTTTTCTTAATCTTGTAACTGGTGTAGAATAGTACTTTGTGCCAGTAAAACAAACAACTAATAACACAGTGCAATAGAGCAATGAAAAATAAGAACATCAGTTATAAAGATTATTGTTAAAATGTATACTTCATAGTTGCCTGCCATGATGAGTTTAGCAAACTTCCGTGATCCTGCAACGTTGCAGCGTTCGCCAATATTAACAAAGTTGGTGTATGGCCCAATCCTGAATGGCTCCAGACCTTAAAAAGATATTTTTTAACATATTTTTAAAAACAGGAAAGAAAAAACTCTGTAAGAAAGACAAAATCCCTTTTTTAAGCTGTAAAACAGAGGTCTGTCTCTTTTAAGAACAGTGATTTCTCAGCATGTCAGTGCTCTAACGAGCAACTAGCAAAGCAATGCAAAGAAATGAGTTCCAACATATATGCCTTCCTCAGTAACAGTCAGTAATTTACCTGACCTGCAAAAAAACTACAGCCAACTTCTCCAGTATAAAAGTGAAGCTATGATTTTTGGACATCAGTGTGTATGCACATACACACCTTCTCTCAACTTTCAACTATGTTACACCATGACTCTACCACCATAAGAGAAGCAGCGGCCCACTGAAATGACTAACAAGGACAGCTCTTAACTATGTACCCAAGTTCAGAGAAACAAGGCAAGTTGGACCCTTGGGTAGCAGGCAATGCAGAAGCAAACAAACTACAGCAGAACCAACTAAGCTAATGCATGACATAACAGGCCAACCATGATTTATTTTGTTTGCACTAAACTGATTTGACTTTGAGATTAAAATAACAGACCAAAATGAAGGTAGTGTTTTACTTCAGTGCATGGCTCAAAGGCTTAAAAGAAGGCCTTGACTATGGAACACAGAGATTTAGACTTGCTAAAACAAAAGATGTTCTAGACCTAGATGTACTGCTGGGAACACAGCTCCAGTATGACTGAATCAACATCTGAGGCAACACAAGGCAGCTCTCTCACAGCAGAGGTACCAGCATCTTGTCCCAGCTCTACCATTAACTACAGTCAAATTACCTGATCTCTCTGGGCTTGACCCTGCCATGTTGCAAAGTGAGGATAAAGATACTTCACCATTACAAAGAGACTGAGACTTGCAGAGTAAATATGCTGGTTTGATTATGTTATACGAGATTTCAATAAAATGTTCCATTAGTCCTTCGGCCAAAACAGTAAGATTTAGATCTGGTTACACATGCATAAGCTTGCTGGATTCAGGTAGAACTGGACATTCATAGTGTTGTTCTGGTCATCAGAAAACGGCTAATAAATTTATAAAGGAAACTTGTGTTAGTTATGAAACTCAAACTGTTACACTCTTTTACCTGACAGCAGCATGCATCCTTGAGAGAGAGAAGGTGGAACACGAGGCTTACAGAATTTCACAGCTTCAGCAATTTTCCTGAGTTACAGAAAGAAGAAAGTAAAGAGAAGTTTTCAACTAAAATTAAATCACTCCAGACAAGAGTCAAACAGAACATACTAGACAGATACCTATATTTGCAATTTAGTCCTGTAGCAGACAAGACTAATTAGCTATTTTCACTTTGTGAGGCCAAAGGCAAAAACATACTCCCAGAAGATCCTATCATAGCTATTTGCAGGGAATGTACAAGGCTGAAGGTTTTTCAAATACAGAGATACTATAACAACGGGCCACTTGAAGGATATCAGAACCACATCAACTTTTACCATATTCATGATTTGCTGAGCTGAGCAATTGCTGATGACAGCAGCAAAACAACTCAACAGGGGACAAACACTGTTTTGTACTGAGAAAAGTTTCTCAGATGCCAGAGTGACTCATGCTGCTCACGTTCACTTTTTTTCACTCCAGTCAAGAGTGACCACACAGCGTCCTCTAAACCTTTACATGCCACTTCTTCCCGGTTTATATCAGGGTAAAAACAAATCACAAGGGCCCCTTCTTTTTCAATCTTAAGTGAAAAAGGGACACTTTCCCACTGACTTATTTCCAATAAGAAAGATATGAAATGCTCCTTCTGACTAGCCAGGACTAGCACCAGCTGTATGGCATTCCTAGATCTTCTGTTCAGGCATTTCCACAACACATCCACACAACTTCCTTCCTTCTAGCACCTTAAGCTTCACCTTGTGGTTAAGACTGCCAGAAAGAGAAAGAACCTACGGCACAAGAACGCAGAGATGGGAAGTCTATTCTATAGTATAGAGGGAGAAGTAATTCCAACACAATTTTAGATGACAAAACCACAGACGTATAATCCTTGTTTGAGCCATGCCTCTACTCATTCTTCATGATACACACAACTATGAAAGCCAGGCTGTTCCCACTCCATATATTGCTCCTATTGGCATTGAAGTGATCCATCTTTTCAGGAAACCCTAAGACAAACCATGGAATATTGTTCCACAGAAACAGCACTTAGTTTACTTCTCAGTCCACTATAAGCTGTAGCACATGAGGTACCTGATATGTGCTGGTGTAGTACCACAGCAACCTCCAACTATGTTGACCAAACCATCCAAAGCAAAATTCTGTAAAAGGGAAGGAAAGAGAATTTTGTTCCAAGTTAATAAAGGTATCTCTTTTAATATATATATATATTTAAATATTTTTCTCCATCTGTTAAGCAATTCAGGGAGATCACAAGAAAAGCACTAAATTAAAAAAACAAAACAATCAGCACTATATCTTCTCTTTAGGATTTGTTTTGAGATGTGGATTCCCAAGGCTAACCAGCAATTTCAACATCCAATTTTAAGAAACTACATTTGAATTTGGCCTATTTTATACTGAAGCCCCAGATGAAAACTTGGATGAGTATCAAAAACTAGTCATACTATATTATAAAAGGGCATTAACATGCAGCAAATACTGTGTTCTCACTGACACACTGCAGCTCCAGACACACAGTTCTGTCTGCACAGATCAAGCGGCATGTGGAAGGACACCCTGCACTGGAACACCACCAATATCAGTGGTTCCTGTACACACAACTCAGTAAAATCCTGCCAGGTTCATAAAAAACGCTCAGCTTTTTGAACAATTCCCAAATGTAAAAGCAAGGACATAGGAGTACAATGAGTAACACCTACAGATCAAGCTGCAGGAAAGCTTAGTGTACGACATGAAATTAAGTAGGGTTTTCAGTCTCCTAAGTAGTTTAGTCCTAATGTGATATCTCAAATCAGCCTTCCCAAATCTTCGTTCGCGAAGCCTAGCCTAGCCATGATATCTCAAATCACTATCAGCAAATTGTCTATAAAAATCCAACTGACATATATAGCCACCTGAAGAAAAAAAAACAAACCACAATACTGTAACAAATATGCATAGAATACAAGCAAAAGTTCTTGTCTACTAGTATGTCAGATATGACAAACTCACAAGAAGTATTTCATACCTTTATATGCTTGGCAGTCACTTCTGGAGTTTCATCATAACCACCAAAAGTATTGGGGAGACCTTGAAACATGATTTTTTTAGTATTACAATTTGTTTAAAGCCCACAAGAACAGAATTAAATTCCATAAAAGGCACATTTAAAGTAGCTACAATTATAAGAGGACTAAAATGCCTCATCATCCTTGCAATCCTTACTCAACAGGTTATTAATTATTTAAGAAAGCATTCTGGGTTCACTGTCATAGATCTAACAACAGTTACTTTCAGCAGTTTAAAATATTCTTACTCTCTTTTTAAAAGTAAAAACAATCATCTTTTCAAGCTACTTCAACTCTATTATTGCTAATGAGATGGAACAGGGTAGTTACATTTCATGTGCCTGTAAGCATAGGAACATGTGCACCAACACACCTGCGTTGGGGTAACAGATGATGTAGGCTGTGGTACATTTTCCAATTGTTTCAATGAATGGACGCATTTCAACTGCCCCTAAAGCACAATTTAAGCCAATACTGGAAAATAAATTTTCAAAAAATTATGTTGAAGTAAAAACACCTTTTACACACAAGACAGATGAACGTTAGTGCTGGCAACTGCTAACTCCCACAATCATCTAAAACAAAACCAACCTGATCTCCAATTTCTTTACTCATCATCATCAATACAGCAAGACTGCAAAAGGAGAAGCCTCAGGTGGAAGAAAAGTATGAGAGGGAAAGGGGCTGGACTGATTTGAACTGGAAACAGTAAATCAAGATTTCATTTCAAAATCCAGGAGGAAAGTGGCAGCATTTTGACAGCAACTGCAGCAACACGATGGCTCTGTATTTTCTAGGTGAGAGAGAGAACAAGTGGAATGAGACCGACAGATTGGAAAGAAGTCTTGTGCTACAAGAAAAGTATGAAAAAGGTTGAAAAAGCAAGACCCGCTTCCAACTGCTAACTCATCATTTTCTTTCGAAATTATACATAAATTATGTCAACCTTGGAAGGGACCAAGAGCCACCCCCAAGATGCCTCATGGCAGCACTAAGCCTGGGCAACTGAATCTGCTGTATCTTAGTAACCAGGACAGCACTATGGCAGAAATATTTTTGAATGAAAAAGCTTCTTAAACAATTTTACCAGTATAAGAGATACAACCACATTTTCTTTCATTCAATGACAGATACATAAATGAGACTTGCACTCAAAATGTCTCCACTTGTATTAAATAAAGAAATTTCTCTTTCAGAAACTATGTAAGAGATCTCTTACATATGTTTCCTGATCTTTCCGTACCATTCTAGAAACCACCTTATGCTCCAAAGTGCTCATAGTGCTGCTGGAAGACATAGAAAAGTTTTCTCCTTTCCCGGAATAACAGTCTCAGGCAGGATGCAAGCTAACCCACTAAAACAGGAATGGCTAACAGTCACATCTGCCAGTTAGCCACAGAGGCTGCCTTGGAGGTGGCCAAGTTAATTAAGTGCCTGTATACCCACTTAGTTTCACAGAGGTCAAAAGCAATAAAACTCTGGACTGGGACTGGGAGCACAAAATGACTTTTGACTTTTCCCATGTTTCCAAGGAGTAGGCAGGGCCTTGGTAAGTGCTCAAGTTGTAGCAATAAATGCTTGCAGTCAGATTCACCTGTTGAACAGAATGACAAATCCTTAAGATCTGAGGGGCTCACAGGAACATCCAAACCCAGGGCCTTGAATATCAGAGTCACAGACCAAGACCAAATAATACACAAACCCCTTCTTCCAATAGCTTAGGAGTGAGGGAGTTGTTTTTCTTTGTGGGAGTTGTTATGTATGTTTGGTTTTTTAAACATATATATTTGTTTGTGTCTTTTAAACAGCCAGCCCTACCTTCAAAGTGCTTTCTCTAATACATCTCATATTGGCCAGAAAAACTTGACAACAATGCTTTTATTCTCATTTCCCAATTTGGTGTTTACATATATTTGAATCCATCATACAGATCCCCTGGATACAAATAGTATGCACAAGGAATACACAATTCATTACAGCAATGAGGCTCTGGAATTTATTCCAAGTGGGAGCTCATCCCTCAAGCTTTTCAAAGCAAAGCAAGGTAAGAATGGTTAGCAAGACTATCCTTATCAAATGCAGACAAATGCAATGTATTTCTTACTGTTAAGTCATTCAATTTACAAGCTTTCAGCTCATACTCCCCCACACTACAAACTGCCTGAATAATTACCCATTACAGAGGTTGCTGACAAGTATGTCCATGACCATGACACAATCCAAGTATTAGCTGTCTCAAAACTGTAGCACAGACATGCAAATTCATTCAGAAACAAAAAGTAGCTTCTGTGGCCAGTATCATCTCCCCACAGCACTCAACAACATCATGAAAGATGTGAGAAAAGCAAACTGTTAACTATGCCTTAAGAGCCAGCAGCCTTGAGCCAGATTGCTGGTATGCCATCACTGCTACCCTAGTGTAATAACCATCACACATTCATCTCAAACATCTCCTCCCTCCCTTGCTCATTTCTTCACAGCAGTCACACAACTCCTAAGGCTGCAGAGTGCCCTTGGGACCAATACAAAACCCACATCAGGGCCTGAAACTCAGTGTATGTCTCCTTAAAACTACCACGGTAGAAACAACCATAGGATCTCAACACATCTGAGCACCTTTCATGGCAAGCCTCCTGCCACACATCTTTCAGCACTTAGTAAGCACAGTTCATGAGCTTCTCAGCTACCACCTCTATCAACCAGACATAATGCTCACACTTTTTAGGGTGGACTCCAAAACAAACTGACTTAAGGATGTCAACACTAAAGAGGGCATAGAAAACCTAAATAGAAACATGTGAACACACAACACGATTCCTAGGATACTACTATTAATCAGCTTTTTCACAACCCTAAAGCCACTCTGTACCAATCTGGCCATAGAAACAACATTGAATGCAATCTGTTCCCACTAAAACCCTTCTGCCACAGTGTTGTATAGTAGCCTTTACATAAATGAGAAACAAGTCCTAAGCATTCAGTCCCATAAGATAGTTTTTATGAAGTATGCTTTAATAAATTCTTGATTTCTTCTCCAGTGCCCTTCTCTTGAAAAGCAAGAGTTAGAGAAAGATTATCTGAGACAGACTCATGCCAAATATGGATCACCAGGCTGTGATGCTGAGAGGAGTCAACTACTACACTGTTCCAAGAGCCTCCATATGTTACTTCTGGAACACCGTCTGGTCTGGGAAAGTGGAGCCTCAAGGGCAGTCAGGAAAGCTGTGAATGCAGTCTTCTGCTTTTGTATCACTGAGATGACAGATTGCGCAGTTTAGCTGGAATTTTGTTGTAAAAACAAACAATGGCTCATCACAATGTGCATGGTGTGCACTACTAACAGTGACTTAGTGATCCTAGATAGAATATCTTAGGAAAAAAAATCTATTTCCTGTGTAAGTTTTTGTGTGAAGAACCAACTTGAGAGTAAAAATGGTAAAGAGGGAAGAGGAGGGAAGAAGACGGTAGAACAGGATATAGAAACACAGAAGAATAGGGAAAGAGGGAACACTATTCAAATGGGCATGCAAAACCTTGTACAATAACCAAATCTGCCACATTATCCATGTGCGCAGAACTTAATCTCATGCTTATTTCAACTTTTCTGTCTGAACAGAAAAGAATGCAAGTGAATGGAGGCATCAGGAGCTCTCAAAATAACTATGCACATCCTTGAGAAAAATACTCACACCACGTTTTTGTAAGAGTTCAGTAAAAAGAACACTGTAATGATATCTTAACAATTTTCTCATTCAAGACACCCAGAAACATTCCCAGCTGGCACTGCTTCCCTCTAAGGAAGAGATGTAAGCCCTGCCTGTACCAGGGATTGGCTCCTCGGACAACCCAAAAATAGTAGGAGATAGCAAACTACAGTTTCAGATTTTGACTTAATTGTGATTTCACTGTAAACACAAACCCCCAGATTATTTAAAGCAATTAATTAAAAATTCAGCTGACTTCAGAAACAATTTCTGCTGAGGGAATGACAGCAGAACATGTTAGCAATGCATATGAGTAAATATGATCAGAGTTTGTATAGCTTCCATTTAGATGCAAGCAGGGCGTTAAAATAGAAAAGAATCACAATTTACAGATAACTTACTAAAAGAAGAAATTATACATTTCCTTACCAAAGTGGCTTACTGTGGGAAACACTAATGACAAATGCCTCTCCTGTCTGGCCTGAGAGGGTACGCCCACTCTTATCCACAATGGTTCCAGAAACCTAAATATCAATTGAACACAGAGAAAGGAGAATTAAATGCACAACAAAATGAAGAACTTAAATGGCTGAACTGCTATAAGTCAAAGCAGAGGGACATGTGCTCCACTCAAAGGGATAAGACACAACCCAAACAGAAAAATGCAATCTCATGCTACTTGAAAATATGGCAGACTTTGCTTAATTTCATCCTTCAAGCACTGGTTCTTATTGTCCCTAAGACAGAAAGCCTGAAAAAAAAAATCATCATCAGACCTTTCCTGCAGAAATACAAAGAATGAACTGGACTGAAGTCATTCCTCCATCTTCAGCTTGATCAGCTGGACAGAGCTACCCAAGGCTGATTTCACAAAGCTCTTCATGTAAGAGGTTATATTTTCACAATCATGTCAAAAAAGTACATTTTCAATACACTAATTTCCTTCATTTCAAAGCACTTTAATCAACTGCCATCTCAGCTTGTTCACAAATCAAGCTTAAGCATTTGTAAAATATTAAAATATACTTACAAATATGGGTCGGGGAGCATATTCTTCTTCAAACAACATCTGGAGTGCAAAAAGAGCTGCCTACAGAAGAATATGTTGCAAAATATTAATTTTGCTTTGGGAATTCTTCAGTTTGTTGTTTGGAAGGTTTTTTTGTTTCTGTGGGTTTGCTGCCTTTTTCCTTAATTATTACTTTTTATGGCTGTTTATGCAACTTGCTGCCTTATATGGCCTGCCAGAACTTACTACACTCAAGAAGTTTTACCCTTACCCCTAACATTTTCTAGATGTTCCAAAACACATCTTGGTACCAAGTAGGAAGGAAGTATCACAGGGTAACCAAATAAGACCAAGACTATTCTGAAACCAAAATCATATCAGCAAGTACTTCTCCCTCACATCTGCAGCACAACCCTCACCCCAAACATGGTTCTATGTACTATCCTCAGTACACACTCACTGCCCTTTAGTCTGTTCAGATATCCAGTTCCAAAGGGTTCTAATCTCCACAAATTTTTACAGAAAGGACTGTAAGCGACTCCTCGGAAAATGCCCTGCCTCCTTAGGATAAGAAAGCTGGATGTGAACAGGAGCTCAGCATAACATTAAGCCTACAGGTTCCTAGCCAAACCTCCATCATGACTGGTCAAATCTGTAAACGATAAGTCATGCCACTGAATACATTAATAAGCCTGTGGCAAAAGTCTAAAGAAATGCCATGTGCACATCCAGCCAGACTTTCCCATGTAAAATTGCAAGACAGTTTTAAGCACTCTAACTCCACCACCTGCACTGAGCAGTTATTAGATAAAGAAGGAGGTGTCAAAATCACATGAAATGTGGCATATTTCAACATTTTCTTCCTTCTCTTTTACCCTTCTAAGCCTCTATTCCAATTGTTCTCTTTTAAACCTGATGTCAGAGTTCCCCCAAAAAACACTTTTTAAGAGAACTGTCGTACAAGCATTTGCACATCTGCAACCAGATACACTGGATATTCCCTCTCCAGTGTGCATCACAAGCATCCTTTCGGCAGACAAGCTTATATTGAAAAATACAAACATCAGATGCCACTGGAGATGGTTTGCAATACAGCAGAGCTTCTGGGAATAAGCAGACAGCTGGCACAGACAGCCAGAACAACACAAATGGCATATATTAAAAGGCAAAGGAAGCATTCTGGAAAAGGCTGATTAAAAGCCATCTCCTCATATTCTACCCATTTGCTATCAACTGAAGAGTCTTTGCATGTATTTAGTAAGCACTAGCTGATAACTCTTAAAAAATTTCCTTACTTATATTACTGAGGTGGGTTTTTTCCAGAAGTCTTACCTTAGCATTGGCGGTATCAAATATGGTTTCCACTAACAAGATATCAACTCCTCCATCCAAAAGTCCTTTGGCTTGTTCCTTATAGGCTTCCACCAGTTCATCAAAAGCTGTAAAACAGGAAGGATGTTAATTTCATCTGAAGGTATCTCTTACAAGACCACCGTCTAAGTTAAATAATTCAATGGTTATAAATACTTATGTTCCTGTAATCTGGTCTCTCCACAGATGGTGACACGGAGAGTGTCCTGTTTGTTGGACCCATGGCTCCAGCAACATATCTCCTAATTCCTAAACAAAGACATGGGAGGAGGAAAAAAGGGGAAAAAAAAGAAAAAAGGAAAAATAAGGAAACTAAACAATTTACCTCCGGCTTTACAATGACAGTTAATATAAAATATCTCCAAGGACACCAAGACATGCATATCATTCAGACAGAAGAACATCTATGAAAAGGGCAATTGGCTCAATGAATTTTTCTTCTAAGAATCATTTGTCTCTGACACAGGAAACTACATTGAATTACTTTAAATGCACAGCACAGAACTGTCCTGGCATTTTTCACTAGACAACCTTATTTGAATATTCCGGCATGTGCCATAAAAAACTCTACTTTTTGAAAGCATATTTCAAATCTTACATTCTTATTGCATGCCATAAATCACATCAGTAAGGTGTTATCTGGACAGCAGCAGCACTGTTAGCTTGAAACACAGTTTGATTGTAGAATACAAGCAGAAATTACTAGTCTTTGAAAGACAGTATTGCCTACAGCAATAAATGAGCTAAAACCCCCCTCACATAATGCCTGGAAGATAAAAGACTGAACATTTACAGATGACAGTCACATACTAAGATCATTCCAGTAGCTGCTGAATAAAGTTAAACCACCAGCCATACACTAGGATTAGCAGGTAATCCATGTTTATCTACAATCAGCTATCCTAGTTTTGTAGTACAAAGACTTGTGCCGTACAAATCTAAGGAACTTCTAACGGTTCCTGCTGAGTTTATTTTCTCTAAAACACATCTGAAGATGTGTATCACCCACAGTCTAAAACAGGCACAGGACAGCTATCCTGCACAACCCATTAAGGATGAGATCCTTCAAACATGATGAAATTAGTGTGATATGAATAGAGATATAAAATTGCAAGTTAGGCTACTGTGCCTAACTTGCAGACATGTAGAGTCTCATGTTATGTCCCCATCATGTAAAACATCAAGCTATCCTCTTGTTAGCAACATTTCAAAGATTGTAGCAAAACAGTCAAAACCACAAATGAGTAAGAAATTAAATACTGCTTACCTGTCTGAGCAGTTACAGTGTCCGCTGCTTTTCTGGCTACCTGTGCAGAGACTCTGTTTAACCGATATGCCTGGAACAATTCCAGAAAATTACTGAGCAACATTTAGTTGAGCACAGCCTAAGACATTCTCAAAGAAACACAACACTTCATTCAGTAGCTCACTGTACAATCTGACGGCTCCCCAGCTCACACAAATATATATAAGCACTATTATAGGGTTTCAAAAGGAACAGCTCTATACATCTCAGCAACACAGTTACACGGCAGGTGTCATCCCACACATGCCCCAGCCAACAACTGCTAATCATAAAATTTCAATCTGTAAGGTACTGATTAAATCCTGCTGAAGTCAATAGAAGCTGAAGAACAGGACTTTGATAATAAAATTAACCTACTTTTAAATTCACTTTTTATTCAAGCAGCATATTTCCAAGTATTTTCTTTCACATATTTCTTCAAATTCTCAAAACAACAAAGAATAGTTATGACAAATGTAAGCCAGAAAGGACTTCTACACACACCAACACAAACAATGCACAAGTTGTGCTTCCAAGAAAAAAGCAGTTCCATTGTGGTATGTCGGAAAGACTGAAGCAAAACATCCCTGTTCAGAGAACTGATTCTGTGAATGCTCAAACAAAATCTAGGACTAATTACTATTGCCTTTGTCAACGAGAAGCACACTATATCTGTGAAACAGCAAGTACAATTGTCCACAGCAGTGGAAATGAGCTAGAACCCCATCACACGGCTCAAGAGGCAGTATGCAGCCAATAAACACAATACCAATGAACTCTGGGGCTATGCTAATCTTGGCTGCTGATAGGAAAAAAAAACTTTTTTAATATCTTAATATGTAAATAGTTCAGCATTCTTACCAAATACTCAAGGCCATAGTCAGCCTGTGCAACTCGGGTGCTGCTGAAAGTGTTAGTTTCAATGATGTCAGCGCCTGACAGCAAGTATTCCTGCAAGACATGAAAGAAAAAAGCTCCAAGACCTCCAGACATGAGACACAGAATGAAAGTAGCCCAATTCCTTTGTCCCATTCAGTCGATAAAGTCACAAATCATCTCCTAATTCAAGGCAGATCAAACTCTAAAGGCCTTATTCAAAAGCACAGGGCCAAAGCTATGGAAATGTTCCACAGAAACAATTTTCAGAATTTCAGAGTAAGCCACACTTTTCTATTAACAAGTGACATTTATAGAGTCACCTCTGCCACGAAGTCCAGCACCTGGAGCACATTCTAGATTTCTGCACACAGTCCAATTCCCACTAGCAATCAAGGGCTGCTGTGGGCAGTCTCAGAATTCCAGTTAAACAACAACAGAATACAAGCTTAGAAGAATTAGGTTTTGTGCAGATCTTATTTAAAGTTTTGTGCAGATCTTATTTAAATGGCCAAGATTCACAAAACATTTAAGTCTTCTGCTCTACTTTGATTGTCTAATTCCCACTGAAATAAACTGAAATCAATGCAAACTAAAATATTTTTTGCAGATTCTTTCCTGCATTTTTACAACCTCTATCAGTTGCCCTCCCCCCTCCCTAACTTCTCTTTCTGATTCCTTTGAATGCTTACATGATTCCTGCATATTCAAGGAAATTAAAACACTTGAAGTGCTAGTAAGTCAAAAATACTGATGCAGCCATTAAACATAAACCACTCAGACTTTCCTATAAAAGTAAGATGAACACAGTGAGTTCAACACTGCAAATAAAGTCTTCATCCAACTGACAGCAGAAAACAATTCAACTTGCTTTAAAACATATTTTTCTGCAAACAAATATGCTTTCTCCCAGCTCCTCCTGAAAATGTACGAAAGTACCTACAAATAACTATACGAAAATATACAAGCTCTTACATGTCCACTAATAATCAAGTAATTAAGTTTCTGAAAAACATCTAAACATGTTAAATGTGTCCATCTTTTTACTAGGTTTTGTTTAGTTCAGATCTGTCATTTTAGCAAAAGCTCTTTGACTTTACTGTCTACCACCGTAGAAGGAAATATGCTCAAATCAGGAAGATAATTTTTGCCTTTGAAAATATATCACATCTCTTACCTCTGAATCTGTCTTTGCCAGACAAGGTACAGCTAACACTTACTTTTCAAGTTACTGATACCTCTGAGATCTGACTCACTGAGTCATTAATTAAATTTTAAAAAAAAATCCACCCACCATACATATAGCGGGATCATAGCTACTTTGTAGAAATATTTTCATCTATTATTTCAAGTTCCTTCTGTCCAGTTCTCAGAAGAAATAACCACTGGTAGCTGTAAAATATGAAGTCATCACCCACTGCTCAGAAAGCACCTGACCCAGTAGCTGCTGCAGTGCTGTTACAGGCACTCGTCCTAAAGCACTTTTAACTGGCCATCGGAGAGATAACAGCAGGCTACCTGGTTTGACTGAATACATACATTCTCAAGTCACATCACTACTACTCCACTAAACCTGCAAAATTCAGTTGTTAAAGCAGTTTATCCTATTAAAACCACAAACTAATATAAAGTCCAAGGTTCCTGACCACTACAGCTCAGTTGATAGTGTAGGGACGGAACTCAGTCTACAAATACTTCCTCCTGAAATTTTTATAGGTCAAAGGCTGATTCTTTCCAGTTCATCATTCTTAAAATCCAAAGAATGACAGTTAGGATGTAAACAAAAACATACAGATTACCTACTAAGTTTAACAAACGTAAGCCAAATACGACTCTCATCAGTGAATTACAGATCTTGTTAATAAATAATTGGAAAAACCCAGAATAGATGTGAAGCTTCAACCGAATAACAAATAGATGCATTCAAGCATTTCAATTATTACAGTAAGACCTACAAATACCTGCAGCTCAATAAATACAAGACTTAGGAAGTTGTTTTTTAAAGTCTAATTGAAGACAGGAAAATAATGAAATCTGTTTGCAAACTCCTAATCATCAGCAGTTTAGTCTGTTTTATCCTCTGGGCCACACATTAGTATTCTAGGGAAAACCCAAGAATACGGAAGCACGAATACTCATTAGGAAGCCCATACATTCATTAACTATGGAGAGGCCTTCAGGCTGCCACATTTAACAGCTCTTTAATACGCAATTATAGAAATGCATCTAGAATTCAGATATGTCCTAGTTAGATGCATTTCTAGTGCTGGCTGAGGAGAAGAAAAGGAAATAAAAATGAAATAAAACAGAATCTACAATTAATAGAAATACATTAGGAACATAAGTCAAAAAGGGATTTAAAAACAGCACTGCCTGGGTGACATCAGGAACCAAGACACGAATGCTATGCTCACACAACCAGAACAGTCAAATCTGCTCATTCTTTTTCGCATGGTTACCTAGCACTCTCTTCCCTATTCCCAACAGACACAGGAGAGCCAGCAGCCTGTGGTATGGAAAAGGGGAGCGCAGAGGCCAAATTCTCCCTCCTTCTCTTGTCAAAAGACAGAAATCAGAACCACCTACCTTGTGTATGTCACAGATTATATCAGGTTGAGTTATACTAAGAAGGTCATTATTGCCTTTTAAAGGCCTGGAATGATCTTTAAATTCATGCCCTCGGAAATCCTCTTCTGACAGGGCACGTTGCTGAATCATGGTCCCCATGCCTCCATCCAAAACCATTATTCGCTCCTGCAGAATGGATTCAATTTCATCTTCCACACTTTTCTGGGGATCTGTTGTAAGAAAATTAACCGAATATTTAAGTAGTTCTGAAATGCTCTATCTATACACTTGCGCAACCTGAGCTCTTCCCATTCGAGAAATGGAACAAAATAACTAATCCTCCACTGAAATCAGAAGTAATTGGTTTACTTCACCTACAGTTCCAATAACCTGATGTCAGGTAACAGCTGCATCTATCTAAATAGAATTAAACCCAACTGGTCCTTTACTTAAGTACAGTCACCTGCACACAATCAACCACAGATAAAATTATTATCAAAAGTTCACAAGGGCATATGTCAAACTCTCTATATAAACTTCCACCAGAGCAACATTTGAGCAGCAACGCAGAGCTGCCCTTTGGTACAGACACTAGACTGTAAGTGCTATGCAAGTGCAAACCAGAAATTACTAAACTTCATTAAAAAAGAACCACACCTACTTTAATTGTCTATATCATAATGATAGAAAAAGAGAAATAAACTGAACAAGCAAAAACAATTCAACTGAGTCCCAAATTCACTCGAGTCCCAAATAACAACGTGGCAAACGCCAAGATACACCAACAGATAACAGCCAGGCTTTACTTTCTTTTGCACAAACACAGCAAGACATTTGTCTCCTCCACAACAACAGAAGAAAACAAAGCAGGCAAATCACATGCTAATTACAAGATACTTGACAGGGTAAATCTAACCATGACTGAAACAGAAAACTGTAGAAATTTCTGCGCTATCATTAGGAATGAAGATACAGTACTATAGTGCTTCAAGATCCCAAACAAAGACCATTCCAAACACTAGAGAAAAAGTCAGAACTATAATCAGAGGCATAAAAAAATCCCAACCAACCAACCAAAAACAAACAATAAAACAAAAAAAACCAACCAACTACAAAAAAAGAAAACAAGACCACGACAAAAGTAATTCCACTTTTCCTCTTTAGAACATACACAGAATCATTTCAGAATAAAGACACGCATACAGAATCACTTAGTGGGTCAGGTTGGAAGGGACCACAGTGGGTCATCTGGTCCAACCTCCTTGCTCAAACAAGGTAATCCTAGAGCACGTGGCACAGGACTGCATCCAGACAGTTCTTGACTATCACCAGTGAGGGAGACTCCCACAACCTCTCTGGGCAACCTGTTCCAGTGCACACTTACTCACACAGTATGGAAGTTCTTCTTCATATTCAGATGGAACTTCCCATTAATCATTTTCTCCCTGTTGCCTCTTGTCTTACTGCTCAGCACCATCCAGAAGAGCCTGGCTCCACCCTCTTGGCACCTTCCCTTCAGATACTTACAGGCATTGATAAGGCTGTACATATCACAAAATAATCAAACAGCCTCTTTATCAAAAACCCAAACTACAAGAGTAGGACCCCACTTACCTTTCACAAACATGTAGATGAATGATGTGCTATTCTTTATCTGTCTCCTTCCTTCAGCTTGGGCTTACTCTAAGCAAAGACCTGTATTGCTTTCTGGTTATGAACTATCATCAAAAACCTTGTAAAAAACTAATGATTTCTGAGGCACAAAAATATCCTTATGTCTCATTACAACTTAAGTACAACTTACTACTACACACAGTAGTACTTAAAAATCACTGGCAACTGCTAACTGATTTGACTTTTTTCCTTTTGCATTCTTGCAATGCAACTTCTGTTTTGGCAACAGTACGGTTAAAAAACAATGTGATGAAGAGAAGCTGAGGCTAAGAGGAAAGCATTACAAGGTTACATTTATACCAATACTCTGGAAAACAGCTCTAAATCAGATAAAGTCTCAGCATGAAGAGAAGCCAAACAAAATTTGCTCTCTAACAAGTATGAAGCATTTGAAGGGAGATTAAAATACCAAAAAGCAAGCCACCCTCATTTCAAGTTGAAAGTTTTAACACCACACAGGCAGGCTCAGCAGGTTCTTACACAAGAGCTTAAACCTACTCACGTTAAACCATCAAATTATTCATGAAAATAAAATTGGTCCTTGAGCTAAAGGCTTTTAGAAGCAAGACACAAAAAAATCATATCTGAAAGTAGGTCTGCAATGCAGGCTCCCATGGCGCATAACTCCTGCTTTGCAAGAGCTACAGCCCGATGAGACACACACATACATTAGAGCTTGCTGTTGCTTTAATGAGCCTTCTAAGTCAACTCCTTGGCCTCGAGAGCTGCAGCTGAGATGGGCTATCAGAGCCCTCCCAGAACAAGTCCTAGAGGCTTGTTCTAGAGGCTTCTATTCCTTTTACCTACATGCTTCCTAACTATCTTCTCGTAGACTCAGGGAAGGAAAGATCTACCCTTTGGTTGTAATCCTGCACCTCATCTAGCCCATTTTGCTTTCTCTACAGCTTGCCTTGCTGAACAGATCCTGCTCTGGTGCATGGTTTTCTGCTCACAGGAGCACAGATCTCTGCTTCATTGCTGCAAAAGCATTATTCTGAAGTTTCCCAAACCCGTGCTTCTTCATCAGCATCTCAAAAAGCTGAAGCAATAGGGCAGGAATCATGAAGGTGGCCATCAGCGCCAGAGATATGCAGAGCCTTTGTTTTACAGAGGGATGGCATAGCTCCAAGCCCACCAAAACTCAAATTACCTGTCCTTGCTATAGATAACACTTGACTCTTCTTCCATCAGAAGCCTGCACTACTTCAGTCGTGCTCTGGCACACTTATGATACAATTTTCAAGTAGGAAACTAAGTCTACAGACAGGTCCAAAACCACCCCAGAATTCAAAGAAGATTGATTCATAAAGCCATGCTAGGAAGTGCTGAACTCTGCCCTTGGAAGAAAAGCAGGGAGGAGGCAGGGAGGAGGTTGGGAGGAAGCTGGGAGTTAGGTCTGCAAAAAAGCGCACCATCACCTTAATTCAGCATTCAACTCACATAATTCCTCTCTCCAGCAAACAAGGTGCAAGAGTTTGTTACAAAATAAATGAAAAAAAGGTCTGGAGAAATTCCTAAATTGGGAAAAATCAGGTCAGCCTTTTTTTTGTTGTTGTTTTTGTTTACAAACCCTGATTCTACCTCTGCTCAGGCAAAAAACTATTAAAAGTAACAGGACCTAGGACCAATTACCTTGATTTTACACTCTCCTGAAACTTAAAATATAACACAGAGTGCTCCAGAACTAGAACCATACCAAATAGCAGACCATACCAAATGAACAAAAATGTCCCAACAGCACTGGCCTGAAAGTCAGTGGGATACAGAACCCTGCTTCACTTTCCCAAGGTAAGTGGCTCTGGCTTGAGATCACATGAACAAGGGAATTACTCATCTGCAAAAGAAAATTATCTGAGCTACAAGAACTTTTACTCCTTGTAGATCTTTCCAAGTAAATGTGCATAGCACACAAGGTGTCTCTTTGGTAAAGCTTTTCACCCCTACAGTCACTCACTAACAATTATAAACTTTGCACAACTGTATGTAACCTTCCATTTTTCAAAACGTAGCACTTAGTCAAGGAGCACGGTAGATGATGTTCGTTCATCTCCTTATCCTGACCCAATGACACACAGGCCATATATGAAAAATTAAAGGGATAAATGCATGTTCTCCACAAGAAACAGGACTTCAAAGGTTACAAATTCCTCAAAAATACATTCTTCTGATGCCTGAAATGATTCTCAAAGGTGTTGGTTTTTTATTATTTATGCACTTCCATTACAAATTTATTCTTAGTATAAAACAGTCTAGTATACAAGTACTTGGAAGGCAATAAAGGACTACAAGTTTCTTCCAAAACTTTTATAGAGGATTGGCCTAGCTGTGACAGTGCTGAAGCCTTTTCATCACGTTAATGTGCAAGAACACAAATTGAAGAACCACGTGGAGGGATAGGCACTTATTACCCCCTATTTCCTAGCCTGACCAGCTCCTGTCTTAAAGGGCAACAGGGCCATTCCACATTTGCACATTCTAATTCAACAAACCAGCGTTGCCCCATACCAGCTCCAAGCACAAGTTTGCCCATCATTCAAAAAAATCACTGCACAGTGGCTAGAAAGGATGCCCTTGCTGTCAGTCTGCCACAGGCAGCTCATGATAACCTCAGCATTATTTGCTGTTTAATTAATTAAATCTTCTTCCACTGGGTGCCCTCGGGAAACAGTAAGAGTTTCATGAACTGTAGCAAAGGATGGCACACAGGTCCTCTGCAACAGTGGACAGCAGCACCCCATTGCTAAGTTATTTTTTACCCAGTCTATCCAAAGAGAGAAGCATTGGATTTTACCACTTCACCCTGGGCACCTGTGTGCACCTTGCTAATATCTTCTATGCTGGCACTTGCCTTCAGAACCATTCAGGTCTTAAAATAACAGACAGACAACATACCTCTACAGCCAATGTATTTACAAAGTTAGCTTGAAAGGCAAACAACTACCACTAAAGTCACCGAATTCTTAGTATAACAGTTCTGTTGTGTCCCCTATCTCTAGCCAAACACGCAAAACCCATGCTTACAAAGCTCCCTGTGTTATAACCACAACTATCCATCTTCCGACATTAAACTGTTCACAACAGATATTCATTACAGGCAGGAATCACCAGGAAACAAACCCTCTTCCAGATCAGCACAGCCCTGCTTTGTGGCATGCACTGCCCCTGAAAGGCTAGGGACAAGCACTGTGCTCAGCTTCCCGATGGCCCACTCCAGCACGCAGGTCCTTTGTATCACTGCCAGACGGACACACCATTACCTACTGCCTTGTGCCTGCTCAGTGGGGCTCCACAAACATCCCCAGTACACAATTTTTGCTTCCATCTACACAGAACTTCTCTTCAACTGCCACCACTTCTCCAGGTGCTGCTGAAATACCTTCCCATATCTCCCATTTCAGCCAAACCCATTCCGTTCTGCAGCAGGAGGACACTCATGGCTTGACCCCAAATGACACGGGAGAAACGGCAGGGCAGGTCAACACCACCGTCTTTGCCAGAGGAACCTGGAAAAGCCTCAGACCACAAAAGCTGAGTATGGAGTCGGTGCCGGTGCAGGCCTGTTCGACAAGCCACGGGATGCAATCCTGAGCGAAGTACAGGCTCAGCAGCAGGCACTCCCTCCGAAATACTAAAAAGGAAAGTGCTTGGGATCTCTTCAGGCAGGAGCTACCACTGATGGAACTGTCCATTTCAAAATACCAACAACGATAATCAGCAGCTACAACTTTGCTTATCCTCCCTTACTTATCCTTACAGGACTTCTGTTCAACCCGCGAAACGACACTTTTGGCTTAGAGCCCCGGAGCAGCTGGTGCACACCCAGTCCCTACTACCGAGCTCCGGTTTTTATTTTCCCGACATAACTGTGTCGGCGGACAGGGCGGTGCGGGTATCCCTGCGGTACCTCCCGACCCGTTCCAGGCAGGGCGCAGCTGCTCCAAGGGGCCGGCTCAGCGCCGGAGACTCCGCCAACAAGAGCACTCACTCACTGCCAACACCGACCCGCCACAAGCGGCTTCTGCAAAGGTTACAAGCGATGCGTAAGTGCCGCCCCCGCCTGCACCGAGCCGCGGGCACCCCCAGAAGCCGGAGGGAGGGCGCGCCCGCCGCACCCTCACACACCGCACCGCCCGGCGCCGCCGCCATTTCCCCCCCGCGCGCCTGGCGCTCGCAGCCGTTACCGGGCGGCCCCGTGGGCGCCATCGCTGCCGAGACGTCACCGCCCGCGGCCGCGGGGCCCGCGCGCAGCCCGTGACGCGCGAGCTCCGCCCCGAGCGCGGGCAGGAAGCGCGCGCTGCTCTTGGCCCGAGGGGAGCGTGATCCGCCTGTCACACCCACACAGACAGACACACAGACACAGACACAGACCGACACGCAGACACAGACCGGAGTCTGGTCTGCGAACTAACTCACCGACACAGCTTTAGATGGCCCCGCGGGGATGATTTTGGAACCAGGCAGGGATCAACAAAATGAGTTCTTCCTCATCTTGGGGAGAAGTAGGGCGGGAATGCGTTGTAGGGGAATAATTCTTTCGAACGCAAACGACAAATGTGCTGCAATTATAGGCAAATGTAGTGTTGAGAGGAAACATGTAAATATGCCTTACATAAACTGGAAGTCGGACTTGGCAGCGGCGTATGGATGCGTGTTACTGGCATGTAAACCTGGAAACAAGTTTACACTAAAGGAATTAAGCAAGTTAAAGCACAGTTTGCTTGACAGTCGAACTAAACAAATAAAATGTGCCTCATTTTGACACAGGAATTTCACTTCTGGTGATACATCCTTTCAACTTCTTATATGAGGACTCACCTTTTAAAAGAAATACCTGCCTGTCAGAGTTGCAGAGCGGCCTTGCAATCACGACACTGTGTAGTGAATGTGTGCTTGCCAAGAGTCGGAATAGCTCAAGGGGATAACCATTGCTCTCATTTCATGTTAGTAATGCAAGTGCCAGTAATAAACATGAACAGCATTGTCATTTAAACGAGTTCAGTGATCAAAATGGGAAAAGAAGGGAGTCTGTAAAATGGGTTATCGACCAGCCTTTCCTGTTTTGCTTGCAATATTATTGCATTGCAATAACTTAAGCAAGCAAAGTAAATGATGCAGGTGAAGATGCAGGGACTGCTGGTTCTGTGTTAACAGGAATGAACGGAGGTTGCTTCCCTCCTTCAGGCGCCTGGGCGTCAGCTCTGTGGGGCAACAGTAAAGCCTTCTATCAGCTCAGAGTATGGGTTGCTACTTAATAATGGCTTCTGCATTTTCCCCAGAAAGTCTTTAGGGGACTGAAAATGAATTAAAAGCTGCTAGTGTAGATGATTCCTGGAGGCTAAATATTTACTCTTGAATTTTCTTTTGAGACACAGAAACGGTGGTTACAAAGTCTTTGAGTACAATGTGATCTAGGAACTTTTATAATCAACTGTCACTTTGGTCAATGGTGATTTAAGTGTACAAATTACTGAAAATTTGTTTAAATAATGTATATGCCTAATTCATCTTCAAAAAAAAAAACAGGCAGCCCACAAATTAACTAGACGGTAGTCCAACTTCAGTTGTAGAGGCCACGCTCTGGTTTTGAATGACAGGAGACATTGTTGGAGAGCAGACCTTGCCTCTCAGCAGACCATTGCAGTGATCAGCTTGAGCTCCCACTGCAAAAATGTGTCCCAAAATTCCAGTGTAAGGTGTGGTAGTCTGGAAATGCAGTCTTTAAAAGCCTAACAACAGAAGTTGAATACACTAAACAGAAGCAAAAGTTAGGTACTCCTAGAGAGTTCTTGATTTCATCCCTTTTAAACATAATTTGCATATATTACAGAGATGAACAATGATTTGAGAACCATTCATTGTGAGATTTTAGGGTGTGTATTTCCTTGCTTGACTTTCGGACAGTTTCCAACCTTTTTGTCGTGCCACATAATACTATGAAAATTTCCTCTGGCAGCAATTCAGGTTAAAAAGTTCACTGTCTCCACAGCTGCTTTGTGGTGACAGATCTTTGTACCACAGCTCAGCACGTCCTTGCGTGTGCTGATGCAGTTGTTTGTGTAACTGCTGCAAAGTAGGTCAGTGGGAAAAAAAAAATGCTGAAAATTTGAAGGTGCTTTTGAAAAGGTTCATTTCATATGTCCCATTTCCTTTGCAGTTTCACAACCAGAGTGAACCAGTTTGACTGTGCAGTGCTATGAAAAGTCAGTCCCAGATTCCACCCTGTGCCATCCTCATTTCCATCCTTTTGCTTGTGTGGGTGCTAGACCTTGACCACAATTCTTCTGTAAAGGTCAGTTTTCAGTGGAAACAGGTCTCTGATCCAGTTCATCTGCAGCAGAATGGTCTGCAGAGCTGACACAGAAGCAAGATACACTCAAGAGGCTGAAGAGAAGAGGTTAAAGGTAGCGTTCGTCAAACCAGACAGTCCAACAAAGAAGTATCAACACAGAACTTCAGCCTGAAACTGTTTTGCACTGTTAGAGAATCTCACGTCCCTTTTCTTGGTTTAGTTTCAATGCTGACAGTATTGGACAGTGCTGCTAGAGCATATCCCTACTCTGAGGCTGACACACACCTGCAGTTACCAAAATTTTTGAGCTGTTTCTTTGAGAAGCTCTAATACATGGTGCATTTGCAGGAAACGTTCAAGGATTTGCAGTGAGCATGCCCTGAAGCTTGAAAAATGCTTTTTCTTTGTTGTACAGAGCATTGTTCTTATTTTGCTAAATTAGGCTGTCAAAATACGTTTAATACATTTAAAGCAATACCAGGAGCACCTTAAAGTTGCGGAGCAATGGAGTAAAGCAAGGGAGAACACAAAGATGCCAGCATTCCCATGTGTGAGAAACCTGACCTTAACATTGTTGGGAATTAGTCCTATTTAAACATCAGATGCAGACATGGTTTCACTCATGCAAACATCATGGTGAGAGTCTGGATTGCTGAAGGTGGTTATAAGTGGTGGTTCAGTAAAGCTAACATCTTCTTACTTGCAACAAGATTAAATCCAAATTAATATCCTTAGCAAAAAAAAATTAAAAATCAGTACGTGAGATCAAGTCCTGGTATTTCAAGTATCTTTGAAGGTATTTTCAAAACACCGCTTTCCCCAACTCCTCCCACACACACAGCGAAACTCACAGATCTTTTAAAACCAGGTAGCATTTGAGGCAAACAAAGCCATCTTCGTATTTTAATTTTTTTTCCATGCCAAGGATCTGCTTCACCAGTTTGTTACTCTACTTGCACACACATGTAGTTAAATAGCATATTGACCTTATGCATGTGTAAGATCAAACACAGGGGTTTAGCCCACTCTTTCAGCTTTTGGGGTTGTGTTTTAAATATGTCCATAATATTAATTACAAAAATATGCCTTTCATTCCCATATTATCTGCCTTTATTCCTAAGGATGCAGTTCCCATGGGTTATTCACATAAGTAATCTTTATTTTAACAAGAACAGGGGGATTATATATGTTACTAAAGAACAGTCGTATTTCAGAGAATTATATACAAGCAAAGCATTCACAACTCCATGCCAAAGTCTGAAGAAGAAAACAGATTAATCTGATTTCAGACCACAGCTCTTGGACACTCTGGTCACTTACCACTTGTACTGTTTTGCTGCAGCTGGATTCTTGCCCTATTTTGGCTAACTAAATTACACAATGTGTTTTTTATTTTATTTTCAGAATTTCCTCTAAGCTTAAGAATTGCTATTTCTTTTTAATAATTTTGTAGAGGGTAATTTTTTTATGATCCAAATACAAATTATCTCTTCCATTTAAGCCAAATTATGATCTTAACATTTTTCTTCCAGAATCAAAATGTTACGAGAAACCAAAAGAAAGCTGAGTGTTTCAAGATCAATTCTAAGCACACTCCAAATGCCAAAATAGCCTGATTAAGATGCACAGCTCAGAGGAATACCAACAAATTTAATCTACTGTCATAGGTTGAAATTGGCCCCCCTTTGAGAGTTTGGAGGGGCTCAGAGGTGATTGGGTGCCAGGGCAGTGTTCCCTGGAGAGCCAGTCACCGTCCATGTTGTTCACTTCTGCTCAAAATCATATATCACAGCACCAGAAGCTGTTGGCAGTGTTGTGCTGTTGTTGTCTGCTGCTCAACATTGAGCTCAGAGAATAAGAAAATGTTTTGTCGTAGATGTGCATAAGAATCTTGGTTTCTTTCTCCCCATTAGATCAGCTGAGCTGCACTGCCCCTGCCCAGGGCAGGACAACATCTGCTCTGGATGAGTCCGGAGTGGTTATGGAAACAGGTTTCTGAAGGTACCTCCTGTTCTATTTTTTGTTGGCAGAGCTTCTTGCTTATGTTGCCAGACATGTACAAGCTGAGGGCCTAAAGCAGGCCATTTCATGCAGGCATGAAGTTCTACATCCAACAGACAGTGCCTCAAAAAACCAGTCAGGGCTGCAGGTCTCAGTGAAGGAGAGCTGAAAAGCCTTGGTGACAGAGTAGGTGTGAGGGTCATGGCAAGGCAGGTGGGAGCAGTAACCTCACAGGCAATGAGGCAATCCTGCCTTAGCCAAAACAGAAGAGCAGGTCTGTCAATGCTACCAGGTTCAGCCCACATTCCAGTGATCGCTAAACAATCCATCAGCAGGAGATTATAGATTAGACAATATGTTCATACAATATAGCTCAAGCAAGGAGTGAGGATAAGGGCCTGAGCTAAATGCTAATGGATGGGAGGTGCAGGGGTGGAGGTCTGATATGTAGCTGCTGAGGGCAGTTGGAGCCTGATGGTGTTCTTAGGGCTGTACCAGTAGATAGATGAGCTTAGAGATACAGACACAAGCAGCTGAGGGGGACTGTCAGAGCACAAGCCCTAGGCATACTCTTGCTGCCTGTGAACTATAAATGGGATTACACTCCTCCTGGCAAGGACATCAGTTTGTGTTCAACACAGCTTGAGATCTATGAAAATGTGTCTAATAAGAAGGACTGTAGAAGGTTTAGCCAACTTGGAAAGGTGAACAATGAAAAGTACAGACATAGCCAAGTAGTGCAGCCATCTGCATCCTGGTAGCACAGACACAGCACAACAGGGCAGAGAAGAGGGACATGTGCGGGTCATATGATGTGTGAGTGGCCCT